TATATATATATATATGCACCTGTTATGGACACTCCTACAAAATGGGCGCCACTTAATATCGACATATTTTTAATTCCCCGTGAATCTTAAGATTGTTTTTTAAAATAATTGTTTCCACAAACTGAATTCTCAAAGCAATATTAAAAAAACTAGAATCATCTACTGAGTAATTCTAAAAATGATTTTCCTTGATAACAGACTGGATAGTTTTCTTGGACAAAACAAAACAATTAATATGCATCAAGAAAATTTTTAAAAATTCAAAGATATCTTCTAGACTTGTTATAAAATGAATTTCTTGAAACATATAATTGTTCTGAAACTATTTTACATAATAGAAATTGGAAAAGTATAAAAAAAAAATTTTACTTAATTGTTTTGGATAGCTTATTTTTTAGGATAGTGCTTGGTTAAAAATTTATAGAAAATAAAGCATTTGATAAATTCTTATAATATTATACATAGTTACTCTTAATTGCATGTGTTTTTAGAAACCACAAACATCTAAATCAATAGGATATTACACTTCATAATGAAAAATATTCTTCTGTGAGACATCAAAAATGCTTCAAATTTGAAATCCAACCCACATGCTTTTTTAATTACAAAATTCATAACTTTTCCATTTTTTGAAAAATCTAGAGTGATAAATATTTATTTTAATACTTTACCTCTGCTAAGCAAAATATTTTTGTAAATTTAATTCAAATTAGTGTTAATAATAATTTTTTTTGATTAATTTAATATTAAAAAAAAAAATTGGGGGGGGGGGAAGGATGTTCTTTTTAAATAAATTTCAAAAATTTTAAAGCTGAGAGATTAAAATTTCTTCTTCACTTACTTTTCTAATTTGAGTACCATTTTTGTTCTTATTTTCATGCCAGACAACTGCTATAGCTGCTATAAAATGAGGTCCGTGATTTAAAGAGATAGGGCTGAGAAAACTCAAAATATGTTGCTTTACAACCTGAAAATATTATAAATTAACACTAAATAAATCCATATAATATTTAAATGATGGGTTGTGATGCAGAGCTGTATAATATTTAAGTAAATGATGTGCACACAAAAAAAATTAAAACAACTTAAATATAACTTGAAAAGGGGAATGTTATCAACTTAAACATGTACTTTTCTGTTTGGTTACTCCTAATATTATATTAATTTTACCTACTGTACATGGCAATATATATTGGAACAGATCAATAACAATGCTTTAAAATAATTTTCAAATGCTTAAAACTACAAAATATGCATTTAGGTATTTACTATTGTCAAAAAAAAATTATTAAAACATTAAGAAATAAATCCAACAAATTTATAAATTTTTGTTTATTTTAGAGATTGCAAGGTTAATGTGGTTTACATAATTGTGTTGTATAGATCTTCTATAGCGATTATGCTTATATTTTTCTCTAATAATTTATATTTCTTTAATTAGTAAGAAATAACTTAGTTCTTAATTCTTCTTTCTCTAAAAGTTTGCTAAACCTACTTACAATTTTCAGATAGTGAAGAAGACGCTTTAAATTTTTCTATTTTTAAAAGTTTATTTCAGTTTTCCTTACCTTACTTTATTATATTTCTTTTATTATTTTTTATGTTTTACTTGTTTTAAAATTCTCTAAAAGTGTACCACTATCCAATTTTGTATAGTACTATTTGTATACTACTATACTTTATTATTGTTCATGAGAGATTCTTCAATTCATCCATATTTCACATACATTAGGAAAAAAAACTTTTTGTAAAAAAGAAGAAAAAGAAGTTATTTAATCATGAACTCTCAATTTTCACTTTAACAAAATAATTTGATTAACATTATTTTTAATTTAATACAAATATGCATTGCTTTTTACCCTGAAACAAATTTTAATTAATTTTATAAAACAAAAATAATTAACTGAGAAAATAAAATAATTTTATAAATAACTAATTTTTTTGATATTAAAATAATATTTAAAATATCAACTAAAAATAAACTTTTATTTGAGCTTTTTCCTTAGTTTAGGTAGCCGTTCATAATATTTTTTTTTTTTTTCAAAAAATAAAAAAGACAAAATTCCTTATCATGCTTAATAAATTTTCTCCACAAAAATTACAGCTAAATACTACTAAATGGAAAGATTAAAAGTATTCTCTAGCCCTTATAATTATGTTCTACCCCTTATATTGTTGCATGAAGATAGAATTGAAAAATAATTGTAACACAAAATAATGAAAACACAATTTAATTAAAGAGGTTCTAATTCTTTAATTAAATTAAATAAAGATGACAACTAAGAGATTTGCACAGGGAGTTTTGTAACAGTTTTGCTACTCAATTTCAGTATTACAAAAAAAAGTGATTGCACATTATAACACTAAACCGGAATTTTTAAATAAAGTAGGATGCTCTGCTCACCAACCCCAGTAATTGATTCTCAATCATCATTGTTTATTTCTTCTTAAACTTTTACTTTACTTTCCACAAAAACACAGAACATTTTACTTTCAAAATATAAAAACATATTCTAAGTTGCATCACATGAGATTCCCAAAAAATTCATTACAAACGTTAAGAGAAAAACACAATTAGATCATTATTTTCCATACTCTGTAGTCTGAAATTTGTTGCAGCAAAAGTAAAGAAATTAAAATTTGAAATTAACAACATCCTATTTTATAAGACTTTTATATAATCCTTATATTTAAATGCACAACCATAAGTACATACTCCAAAAACAAGTAAGTCATATGTCATAATCTTTAAATTTCATAGAATCCTTCCATTAATACACTCTACCAAAAACTTTATATCATGGATAGTAAAGCTCTAGTTTATAATTTACTCATAGTACTTAGTCTAACTTACTCTAAATGGAAGCCACAGCCATTATCTAATAACATATTATAAGAAAACACCAAGAGAGTACCATGCATCAAATACCTAAATTTAAAAATTTACTACTTATGCTCAGACATTGTAGACATTCCATACAATGATTACCCATAGGCTGTCAAAACAGATTCCCCAAGACTCTGGTTAAACATAATTAACTTACTACATACTATACATGAATTAGATAAATTTAGGTTATTAACTCACTGAATTTCATAATTAAACTTAACATGAATTAGAAAAAATTTATGTAACTAATTCATCACACCTTTATTTTATTTATCAGAGTCAAAGAGAATTTATTTAACTAATTCTATACATGTATAATTTTGCACATTAATTTAATATTACCAAGAAATTTTCACTTAAAACTTCAGCCTTACATAGATGGAGATTAAAATGAAAATTCTGATCATTAAATTATATTTCTAATTTCAACAAGCACTCACATAAAATTTAAATTTTCAACAAATCCTCAAGTTTAACATTTTATTTGATAGAATATGAAAACGTCCTCATTAAATTTAAAACTACCTGATTACTTTATCCAGTACCAAAAATTCAAATATTTACATTTAAATTAAATTACATTTAAATTAAATTTCAATCATACAAGGTATACTTTCAAAATTTTAAATTGAAATAGAATTACTATTATCACCTTTTAAACACTAGACATCATTAGTATCAATGTAAAGCACTAAAACATTTTGAAATTAAATTTTTTCAATTATTTGAAAAAAAAAGCTTTACTAAACTTGTTTTTCAAATAATAGAAAAGTCATCAAATTTAGAAAATATTTTCTGTTACATAATATTTGTACACTTGACTAACTGAAGTTACAAATTTTTAACACCAAATATTCCTACGGAAAATTACCACTTAAAGTTTTAGTTTAAGATTCAGTAATAACTTAAAAGTTTTGAAAGTTTAATGTTAATACCAAGAAATTGCAGAACCCCTCAAAGTCACAAACTAATCGTAATATTTCAAACTTTCAGTAATGATCTCAAAATTTTATAAACTTTAAATTTAGGAAGTTACATGATAATAATACATGATAATAATTAGATGCATAGAAAGTAGATGCAATAATGAATTTAGTTGCATCGTGTCTGCTCCTGTGTGGAAATTAAAGAATATCAGGGCAGCCAAGGTAACACACATCAAGGATCGATCATAGTGTATGTAACATAGTATTTGTATATAACATACATATAACACATACAGCATAACATAGTATATGTATTACAAGTTTAACAGTTACTCTCAAATTAACAATTGAATTGTAATTATTTTTTATTCCATCGAACTTTTAGTACATTATTTTACATGCTTTTGTAATTTCAAGTTTCCAAGTTTTATAGATTTTGAGCTGCAAAGCAAATAAATATTTTAAAAAAGTCACAAAATAGAACTTAAAATAACAATAACTTTCAAACATATTGAAATTTAAAAAAAAAAACTCTTATGTTTAGTAAATGAACAAATGTGGCCCTTTCATTATGCCTAATTTCAATTTTTTAATGCAGAGAAATAATCAAAGCAAAATTGCTTTAAAAATTAAATTTGTTTTCAATTATTTTAAGAAATCTAACCTTTGGTGTGCCCATTATCCACCATTCCTTGTGAGAGTTTTGCTTATCAACTTCAGTAACAATGCGAAAAACTGATGCCATGCTAGAAATAACTCTTGGCAAATTGCTAAGAAGAACTCTTCGTGCAGAAAGAATAGGATCCAAGGCATTGCCAGATTCACAACCAGATATATCCTTTAAAAAATTAAAAGGAGAGAGATATAATATTTCTTTAATATTTTTGATATTTTTTTAAATAAAATTATTTGATTTATATGAAAGAACAAGTATACAAAAACAGTTTATATTTTTGAAAACAAATGATTTTGTACAAAATAAATATACACAAATCATAGAATCTCAGTTTATATTTCAATTGAATTGAATGTAGGGTTTAATGTGATACGAGGTGCAAAACAGGATATGATGTGTCAAACACTTGGTTTAAATTTCAATTAGTTAACAAAAACTATTTTTACTATAATGCTATTAATAAAGAGACAATATGATAAAGTCTATTTTTCACTTAAATTTAAAATAATTAATGAAAATAACTACAGATGAAATATTTTGATTTGTGTTTTTGTTCACTTGAAAATATAGAAACATGCTTTTTGCACTCATTTCACCTAACATGACCTTTTATTTTATATTCTACTATAATAAATAAAGAAAAAAGAGTAAAAACAAAAAAATAAATATGAAAATATTAAATTAATATTTAATGATTCATTATAAATAAAATTATTTTAAAACCTATTTCAAAATTATTTACAAAATAAAACTATCCATTTTTATCAAGCTGTAATTTTCAAATTTCTCATTTTTCTAAATTTAAAAATGCTAGCAAAATGACATACAAGTATCACAGGGAGTGTTTGAAATTGTGCCCATTGGCTTTGATGCACCTATGCGATATAAATTGGCAAATATTTTTAAAGGCACCTGGCATTTCACTGATCTTAGCGGCAGTGATGGAGATTCGTCACACCAAGTCCATTTTAGAATTTACAGCATGCTGTAGACCAGTGGTGCGCAAACTAGGGGTGGCGCCTTTGGCGACCCCCACAGGCGCGCACCCCTGTGGGGGTCGCCAAATTTTTATGAAATGAATTATCCCTGCATGTTGCATACCATACAGTGTAAATATAAAGAGTGAAGCGCCGTCACTCACTGTTTAATTGAAATTTCATGCTGTCCACTCTTTCTTTGACCGTAATGCGTAATGTATGTAAAATGTGAAGACGCAGGTTTTTCACTCCGGTAGATAGATCCCTCTTCGCAGTAATTCGTCAGTTTTACTGAAAAGCGCCTGTGTGACTAGACGTTAACCGCAGGGAAAGGGCAAAAATTCATTTCCGTGATCAGCCAATCAGATGGCGAGGTACGCAGTGTATCTGATAGTCAGAGTGAAGACGTGAAGTGTTCGTATGAAATTGTAGCATGTAGCAGTTGGACTGCAATTGTTTTAGTTTATCCTCGAGTTTCATCATGCGACGTTGTACATGTGGCATCAGCCAGATTAACTGTGACTGTGTATTAACTGTTTAGTTTTAGTTTCAGTTTGCATTTATGTTTAGTTTCAGCTTGTGTATCTCGTTAGGTTGTCATTAAATGCGTTTGCGAGATGCTAGATCTTGCTCATTTATTCAATAAGTATTGAAGTAATACTTAACCACACAGTGTAATTTTAATTTTTTATATTTTTATTGGGCTTTGCTACTCTTTGTTATTAGGTATGTACTATCATTAGAGAAAGATCTCTGTTAATTTTATTGAATTTCTCGAAAAAATATGATAAAATTTTATATATTACTTGTTTTAGATTAAATAATTTAACCCCTTTCTTCATAATGGATAAATGGGTAATACGTACACCAGGTACATGTTTAGCTAACAAACGAACAAATACTGATGAGGAGTCGCAAAATACTGAACTAAATTCCCGATCTAAAAAAATAAGAAAATACAATGAGGAATTTATTAAGTATGGTTTTACATTTTGTGTTGTTGATGATGAAGAACGTCCGATAAGTGTCATTTGCAACGGAAAATTAGCAAATGAGAGCATGAAACCAGCTAAATTAAAAAAGCACCTGGAAACTAAACATAAAGAACTTCAAAATAAGCATGCCGATTTTTTTCAAAGACGAGCTGAAAATCTGAAAATTCAAAGTGCACATTTAAAGAAATTTACAACAATACCTCAGAAAGCATTACGAGCTTCTTTAAAAGCTTCTTATCTAATAGGAAAAACAATGAAACCCCATACAATTGGAGAATCCTTTATCCTTCCTGCAGCAACTAAGATGACATCATAAGCATGGCGATAAATATGGAAATGAACTAAAAACAATACCATTAGCAAGAGATACCGTGCCTCAGCGAATTTCCGAAATGTCACGAAATATCGAGTCAGAAGTCATAAAATGCATACAAAATTCATCTGTATTTGCTTTACAACTGGACGAGACTACCGATATTACTAATAGATGATAATAATGAAGATATAACAGAAACGTTTTTATGTTGCAAAAGTTTGGAAGGAAAAACAACTGGAGAAAAAATATTCGAAGTAATAAATGAATATTTTGAAACAAAGTCCACCTGCGCAAACTGTGTTGCGGTTTGTACTGATGGTGCTGCAGCATTAACAGGTTCGAATAAAGGGCTCAGAGGCTTAATTCAGAAGGTGGCGCCTCATATGGTATTTAATCACTGTATGATTCATCGGCAAGCTCTTGTTGCAAAAGATATGGATGAAGAGTTGCACAACGTATTACAAGACGCTGTTAGTTCAATTAACTACATTAAATGCAACAGCCACAACAGCCGTCTCTTTTCAATACTTTGCAATGAGATGGGCTCAACGTATGAGAGATTACTGTTACACACCGAAGTCAGATGGCTTTCACGTGGGAAAATACTACGACGGATATTTGATTTAAGAAATGAAGTGTACATGTTTTTAATCGAAAAGAAACATAGATTGGCAAGTTATTATATCAATGAAGTTTGGCTAGGGAAGCTGAGCTATTTAGTTGATATTTTCGAAAAACTTAACGACTTAAATTTGAGCTTGCAGAGTGAGAATTCAACTATCATAACTACAGCCAGTAAAATTCAAGCTTTTAAGAATAAGTTTAGTCTCTGGCAAACTGAACTGAATAAAAACAACACCGACATGTTCCCTTGCTTTAACGATCTTATCAAGGAAAATAATATAATTATATTTACATTTAAAAACATCATTTCCAGTCACATTGAAAAGTTAAAGAAAAAATTTTCGAGAAGATTCGAGGATTTTCCTGAAAACAATCTTGGTTGGATTCGTGCTCCATTTTCCTTTGACATATGCAGTTCAACTCTTCAAATTAGTGAGAAAGAGCAATTGATAGATCTAATTAGTGATTATACTCTTCGAAATCAGTTTAAGACTCAGCCTTGCCAAAAATTTTGGCTATCCGTGGAAAAACACTATCCCGTTTTATGCAAGAATGCCATCAGAGTGTTAATACAATTTGCATCAACGTATTTATGTGAAACTGGATTTAGCAAACTAGTTTCAATAAAAACTAAATACCGCTCGCGTTTAAACCCTGAAGATGATATGCGAATTGCAATTAGCAACATACATCCAAACATCTATGAGATAATTAGAAACTTGCAGCCACATACATCTCATTAAAGGGCAATTTGCTGATTTTTGTGTTATACAAAAAGTATTTTTTTAAAACTATAAATAAAATTAATATGAGTAAAGTATGATGATGTTTTTATTCGATGAAACAAAAGAAATGCGCGAAATATACATCATATTTGTGAACATTTATCTCTAGGGGTCGCCAAAAATTTTCTCTCTACAAAAGGGGTCGCAGTCGAAAAAAGTTTGCGCACCACTGCTGTAGACAATACTTTTCGTGGCACCTCTGAGAAAAAATCAAGAAGATATAAATCAGGTGATCTGTGAGGCCAAACAACGGGACCACCAGGCCCAACCTAACTGCTTCCAAATGTCCAGTCTAAATGGTTTCCTACACACCTTCCATAATGAGATCGCACCCTGTGGTGCTAAATCCACATTCCACACTGATCATGTGCGAACACATTGCTCAGCATTTCCGAAAATACTTTCTGAAGATAGACGAGATCCAGTGTGAGTATCCAATTGAGGTGGTAATATGTATGGCCTGATTGAATTGTCCTCCATGATATCTGAACACAAATTAACAGTGAAGGGCTGTTGTGCAGCTCGTGTTTGAGTTCTTTGTAGGTTGTTTAGGGCCCACATGTGCACATTTATATTTTATTTCATAACCATTGTTAAACATCCAACCCAATTTTCGAGGTTAGGGCTGCCAATGTGCAATGCCGTAATCTTGTAATTTTGAACCGAATCCAGAAGACAAGGGAACTCCAGAATCAAGTATTGGGAGAAATGTCCCCTTCATGGAAGACTTTTTGATGGAACAACCCCGCTTTGCATTAAATGGAGAGGAAAACCACGAACACCTCCCACCGTTAGTTTGACAAGGGGACTCTAACCCATGATCAATCTACCACTGAGGACATTTTACATCAGCACTGTGGTCGGTGCGAGCTGGGTGCAGAATTCGAATTGACCAGACACGTAGCAGGTGATTATCCGGCTGTAATAACTGAACTCTCTAAACATTAAAGGGACGTAGGGCTTCGATGGACAATTGATCAAGATGCTTCAGTACCAACTTCAAGTGTCAATACACTGCTGGTACCAGGATTTTGGTCCACAGCAAATAACAGACCCTCTTCGAATATGGGTGTTTATGTAGTTGGCACCTGCCCAATACCTTCAATCCTGGTAGTGAAGGATCCACGTTTTGCAAGATTCTGATGCATTGATGCGAACATTTGATGATTTGTCGGTGCCTTGTTGGATATCTTTCCCAATGAAACCAAACAACATGTCCATTTTCGTTGGCTAGACCATAGAGGAATTCATGTTGAACACAGGCAGTCGGCATCTGTAATGAAGCTATATATGTCGACTTTGAGAGTTCACATACAGCGCCACCAATTTATTACCGCCCATGCTTTCCCTTATAATTATGACTCCCAATGATGTTTTCTACCTCCTCTCCAAATTTGCACAAGACATTCTGGGACACCCTGTATGTATATAAATATAGATAGATATAAACTAAAAAAAATTAAATGAAAATATAAAAGTCAATCTTATTTGTACATAGTAGCTTTCTGAAATAAATATAGGAAAAATTAAATCTTAAAAAATTCTTACGTTAATTTTATTAAAGACATGCAGAATGAGGACAATGCATTTTTATGTGCTAACATGCTGAAAGATACCAATTATGTCACGATAATAATTTAAGATTAAATTGATGGTAAAGGAATTTAATGTTTTAAAAATAATGGAGTCGTGAATGAAAAAAAAACATATATTAGTTTGTTTTATGACACTATAAGAAGTCTGTAAAAAGTATTATAAAACTAATAGATATATTAGCATCATGATATAGATGTGTGGAAGTATGAAGAATTTTAAGATCCATTATAAGCTTAAAACTTGTGATTTTACTTAAAACATTTTTGAAGAATTTTAAAAAGAACCTCAAAATTACTTGTTAAACACCTCTTTCATCAATTTGCTCCTTCTATAAATATTAAAGGATATAACATTGACTACATTATTTAACTAAATGAACTTAAATTTTCAAATTTTAATAATAATTTAAAAGTAATAATTTGCTTACACTCTTATATAATATTTTTTTTTTTTTAAATTTCAGGTATATTTTATTTTTTATTTATTTATTAATTTATTTTTGCCAATTTCAAACAAAGAAAATCCAAAATAATTTAAGTATAAATATAGCTCAATACACATTAAGCTATCGAAAATTTGCTGCATTCTATTTTAATTGTGAATTTAAATTCTTAAATGTACAAAAGTGCAAAAACTCTGCAATTTAATAAGAATTTAAAGTCATACTTTTTGATTTGATGAAGTGGAAAATACATGGATGAGATTTGATATGATTTGTGAAGCACTAGTTCCAGGTGCATATGGTTGAGATGGAACAGGTGGTAATGGTGGTTGGTTCAAAGGAGATAAAAGAGGAGCAGGACACTCTAATAAGCAATAATGGCACAATGTTGTCAATCCTTCAATAAGAGTTATAAGATAATCAGGAGGCATCGATAGCTTTACTAAATTGTCTTTTTCTCCTTTTACAGAACTAAAAAAAAATTTTTAAGAATATATATACATAAAAAATCATGGGTAAAGGCAGAAAAAATTTAAAAAAAAGCAAAACAGCAATGTGTTATGTTTTTATAAAAACATAGAGAATTAAAAATATTTAATTCAACATCAAATCTAGAACCAAATATATTTCCTTAAACTTTTACAACATCTATAAATAAAATGCATCATGGCATAAAATAAACAAATATTAAAGCATTTTTTGGATACAGGTGATATAGACAAAAAAAATAAGTATTTGTAAATTTACAAAACATTTATTTCTCTCTGCAAATTAATATGCAGATAAAAAGTTGGTAAGATTTTAATTTGATTGCTGACGTTTGAAATATCAAGAGACATTAAGATGGTCTTGACGATTATGACGCAATGGATGCAGTACTTTTCTTATATAAGTCATGGGTTGTCCTCAACATCAGTTTTGTCTTGTTCTGGATCCTCGCGGTGCATCTGCCACGGCCACTTCTAGACTTTATATTAGACTGTCCTCAAGACATTTGAAATCTCTTGACACAATTTAAATATACTAGTAAAATTACTATTTAAAGTGAAGAGTTTTAATATAATTAGAGATCATAATTGTTCATACACCAACTTTTTAAGTTTTTCAAAATTTAGCTGTGATATTTTGCGGAATAAAATATACTAAGAAAACAATAGTTGAACAGGTAAATTTGTAATAAAAACAAATAGCAAAAATTTTACTTCCAGCTTCCCTTACAGTAAATATGTGATTCTTACTTTGAACTTGAAGTAATCTTGCACAGTAAAATAAATTCAAATTTTATGAATTTAAATATATAAACAAGTTTTTCAATTTTTCTTTAGAAAAATAATTTCTATTGTACAATAGTGCTAAAAAGTGAATACATAAACTATGCATGTTTTTTTCCTACATATTTCCTTAAATTCGTAATTTATTATTAAAATATGAACACATCAATTGAATTTTGTTCATTTGGAAGGCCACCATTGAGTTATAGAAAGTAAATATAGAATTGCTTTTATAGTTTATAAACATTTAGATTGGAATTCAGCATATCCCTGATAAAACATATACTTTTATTTGGAATATTATGCAAAATTCACTAAGAATTACTAAGAAAGTATTTAATTATTTAACTGAGTTAAATATCTAATAATTTAATCTTGCTTTGTATTTAGCACAAAATGACATTAAAAGAAAAATGAGTATGAAAAAGAACAATATGTTTGCACTTAGCATTGAGGTGAAACATTAACTGCTTTTGAAGGTTAATAATGCCAGCATACAATAGTTTCAAGTTTGAATTTATTTATTATTATTTTTAACTTAAGAATGTTTTTTTATTCATTTTTATCAAATTTAATTGCGAGCAAAATTTAACTTATTGAGTAACTTTGATATGTTATTTCGTATTGCTCCAAACATTGCGTTAAGCTGTTACTTTAAATATTGTAGGAAGCTGTAACTTCCAGGTTGGCATCCATCTATAATATGATGACAATGCACATGAGATGGAGATAATATATAGATATTTTTTCCCATTGTCTTAATAACTGCCAAAAATTGTCTTTGGTACTTATATGCTTATCATTGGTAAATATCTTAAGTGAGCGCTGCTGTTACAATGTTTTTTTTCCCCTTAATTTTCATGGTTTACTATAAAATTTGATGCTTTAGTAAATTATATTACATGTGTGTTATTAATTATAGATATTATTGGATAAAATACAAATAATTTGTGTTCTCTCAAGCTAAAGGTTTTTTTTATCTGAATAGTATCAATGCAATTGACAGTAACAGATCATTTTTTAAATACTTCCCCTTTCAAATGCTAATGTATTTCATCTGTTTGATTAGGAAAATATATAATATAATTTTCATGCATTATCTCTCATAAGCAAAATACGTTCAGTAAAATTAAATGAAAACATTATTTCAAACATAATTAAATTATGTGACTTACTAGTGATCCCTAACAAATATCTGACATCAATAAAATTTTCCTATTACCAAAGGCAAATTTTTTCATAATTTTAGAGGCCTTGATAAAAACTTGTGTTTTGCATTAACTTATAAGCATTTGCCTACTTGTGCAAAATTTAGCTACTTGACTTATAAAAAAAAATTTATTTGAAAAAGAAAAAATATGTTTTAATTGAGAATTGTGGCTACTATTTAAAGAAAATTTTCTTCTATTTTTTTTTCTAACAAGGGGCTTTTTTAAAAACTGATTTAGTACCTAGGTTTAATCCAAACAAATAGAACATGAACATTAAAGCACGCATAAAATATTTTTGGCGTTTTTCTTCCCACACAGTACTTTTCTCCCTAGCTTCAGTTACAAATTCTTGCTTTTTCAGAATTCTTTTTCTTTTAAAGAAGAAATATTTTTAGGTACTATAAAAATAAAGTTATGAAATTAAATTTCAATGAAAAGCAAAAAAAAAAAGTGGAAAAAATTATTGTAGTGATTTGGTTTCATTTTAATTAATGTTTTTATTATCACAATAATTGCTAAAAGAAATGGCAAATTAAAATTATAACAGGGCTGCTTGTATCCTGGAATAGAGAAAAAACTATAAGCAAAGCCATATCATAGCTGCCTTATTTTCAGGAATGAGAAAAAAATATCCTTGACTACCAAGACTAATTAAAAGTTATCATATATATATAGGACAGATTCATATACAGAAGAAAGTAAAAAATGGTGATAGTTTATAATAGGAAAAGCTTTATTAATCCCTTTTAAAAAATGGGGGCTGTAAAAGTTTTCAAATGTAAGTATATATGTAATAACTGAGAAAAACTTTTGAATGAAGGATATTTTATTTCTTTTGAAAACTAGCTAGAAGGGGTTTTATTACCAGTTTTCTCTTTTTTCTGGTGTACAAATAGGTCTGAAAATTTATCAAACACTATTTTTTTTCTTCCAGATAACGCAACCGTGATGATGACCAACATTCTACAGCATTTGTTTCTCGAATATCGTGTTGACAATGTTGATCGACAATTCCACAACGTTTGTAAATGCTGAGAGATATAGATCAACATTCCAAAGCGTTTTTTAAAATATCGAGAAATATCTCTTCAGGTTTTATATTGCGCAATATTTCGCTTACAATATTGTACAACGTTTGAAGCTGTGTTTTTAGGATATCGTTTTTCAGATATGTGCTACTTTGGTCATATCCAAAATCATATGCATTGTAAGTTTAAACAAAAAAACTATATTTAAACTTAATGCTACCAATTTTAACTATTTTATTATCCGAATGTTTTAACTCATAGACTTTTGCTTGATTAAGATTGTCATTGCCTGTAAATCTTACCAAATTTTAGAGCGACTATTACTTACAAAACAACTTTTCCTATATATTTTGAAAAGTATAAAGGATGAGTAGATAAAAGCATAATAAACTTAATTATCATATCTTTCAAATCAAATAGAGATAGTAAATTTAAGGATTAAACACCCTTGAGCAAAAATTACTCAAATTCAAACAATACTTAATAATGTAAAAATTTCATAATAAAATGGATTGTTTTACTCATATGATTGGTTATGTATGCACAAATATTAGTTACTTACTTATTTGTAGAAGGGTTCCAATAAAGTTTCATAATATTTTCTAAATTTGTGCAAAGCTGGTTGACAACAGTCATGATCAGTCTAGGTAGCCATCTCCCAAGAAATGGTAAGGCAGATGTAACTAAAGACAACCAATGTATATGCAAATGAGCATGATGATCTTGGCGCAAAGCAGTTAAAACAGCACTTAGAAACATAGACTGACATGGAACTGGAACACCTTTAAAAAAAATTGTAATTTTAAATAAATTATAATGATGAAATAAATTGAGGTCCTACAGGGTTAAGATTAAAAAAAAAAAAAAAAAAAAAAAAAAAAAAAAAAAAAAAAAAAAAAAAAGAATGGCAACTTAAACATCATTGTTACCAGGCTGAAATTTGGAAGAAGATGTTGAAGGCTGTGTTGTGCTAGGCTTTGCAACTGATGTATAGCCTGTACTTGTTTTCTTTTCAGTATTATCACCATTTTTTGTTCCAGAGCCATTTATCACATCTCTATCTGCGCCATTTTGAGATAAAACTGTATCCTCTAGTACAACCAATGTAGCAATTAATCTCAAAAGGTGAACCTAAAAAATTAAACTGCTTTAGCATTGAAAATGCTTTAAACCATCATGAATTCTGAAAATTATGAACACTGAAAAACTAAAACTAAACACACTATTTAAAGATAAACACCAAACATAAGATATTTTTCGAATTCTTAGACTGCCTTCAACACATATAAGTCATTGTAATCTACCTCAAGCCGAAAATTCACTTCACCTAACTCTGACAGCAATTTACATCCTAAATAGCTCTTTTTAATTTCTATAAATAGTAATAGTTTAAAGTATAGTTTATAAAGTATAGTTTAGTTTATAGTTAATAGTTTATAGTTATAGTATAGTTTATAGTTATAGTATAGTTTATAGTTATAGTATAGTTTAAAGTAAACAATCAAAACAAGGAAAATGGCAAGAGTTTTAGACCCTTGCCAATGTCACCTGAATTCAGCTCGGGCAACTACTATGTGCATTATTTGTGATGCCCGAACTGACTTCGGGCAGGAGAAAAATTAACATTTATATTTTTTGAAGCCCAAGCTGAGTTTGTTTCTATCTCAGGATACTTAATTCACTATTTTCCGAATAGATAGCATCAGTGGTCCCAGTTTTTCACCGAATACGACTTCAGTCGAGGGAGAGAAATGTGTGTGGGGGTTTTGGGATATGCCATACAGCAAAAGATTTGTAAAATTTATGTATTAAAAAACCTATTGCTGTGTTTTTATATTATATTATACTAGTAGTATTATACTAAGTTTCAAAATTTTGTTTCATTTGCTCTAATTGAATAAAAATTTCCATTTTTGGTCCATTTTTCTGAAATATATGTCACTGTTAAGGGCAACTTTGAAAAATGTTTGATAATGAGTGAAGTCCTTATTGTATGATTGTATAGTTAAGGTTGATATTAAATTTCCTTACAATCTTTTACAATTAACTCTATCAAAACAACCATTCCAACAATATATAAAACATGAATTTTAAGTAAAGTCGACTTGAATAAAGATATCATTTAACTACCATTCAAATCTGATTGAAAAGGAAGCACTCATTTAAGCTCTAGTGAGAAAATCAATGTCTAAAAAATGTATTTAGTAGTTTACTAGAAGAAAAGTTTTTTACTCTTTATATTTCTAAAATGACCCCCAAAAATTTTGAAAGAAAAAGATTGCAGTTAAAGAACATTACCAGTAAAATTAATGCAACATCCAAAAATTAGCTGCTGAGTATATAAAAATGTAAAAGACTTTATTACAAACATTGCTAATAATTTCAAAAAGATTGAAGATGCAATGTGAAAACAGTTTTAATGAAAAACACTAAAAAAAATGCCTTCTCTGAGAAGGAAACAGTTTTTCAAATTGATTAAAGTGCCTAAGGCTCATTGCACCAAATTCAAAATAAAAAATTACAATTTTAAAGTTTATGATGCAGGCAATGAATATTTTAAAGTTATTTTAAAGTTAAAATCAAAGTAATAAAATTCAATAACACACATGTTTTTAATTAATTGTTCTTATGCTCAGTTTAGTATTTTAGTTTTAAGAATTTACAAGAACAGATTCTGAATAAACTAGAGTTCCCTTCCCTAAAGTGCATCCCCTTCTTAAATATTTTTTATTTTTTTAATTTTTTTTTCCTTCTGAGGTATTTACTCTTCTTGAAGTTTTGCATGATTAAATATGATTAGGTGTATTGATAATATTTTACACACTCAATGCCTTAAAGCTGAAAAAATACTTTGCTTCAAATGAAAACAAACAATGTAACCCATCCCCAAAAAAATTAAAACTAATGTTTCAGTTCAACAAATGCACTGGTTTTAAATGAATGTGCTTCTCTTATTATGTAAATTTTGAGTTGCTTAGATATAATGAACATGGCTGGAAAGAATAATCTCTACTAAAAACAAAAAAATATCCCTCATCCAAGAGGGATTTTGAAATCTAACTCGTCACCCAAAAAACTTCTGTACCCTCAAACTAAACCACAAGTTGTAAATGTGCTTCCCTTATTTGTAGTTTTTTGTGAGTGTAAAGTAAAGTATTGATATTATATATTTTGGCGGGAAAAATATTCCCCACTAAAAATATTTAAAAAATATCCCCCCTCCTAAATATTTAAAATTACCCCCTAAAAATCAAAAGTATTTCTTAAATATATGATTTAAAATTTCAAAACTACAAAATTGTATATTTTAAAAAAAGTATTTCCTCTAAAAAATGGCAATGGTGACTTGCTCCCTTTGGTACTCCCTGTGGGCATAACCGATTAATAGAAAAAAAATTTCACTCAGCAGCTCACCATCGGTGATCAAATATTTAGGGGTAGCGAATAAGTAATGAGAAAGTTTGACAAAATGACTAAGTCTGAGAATAATAAAGTTTGACACTAGGGCTGCAATTGACAAAGGGTATTTTAGTGTCGAAAAACAGGGTTATACAAACATGAAGTGTTAAAAGTATTCAAGTATTTCTAATATATTTTACTCATATTTTTCATACTTTAAACACTTAATGATATGAGGATGATGTTGGAATCATTAAAACCTTATGGCAACCTTAATTTTAAAATATTATTATTAATTTGTAATTAATGTTTTTCCCTTTTTCAGTAACATTTTACATCAACGTCTGTTAAAAGTTTAAAAATTGTTCATATTTTTTGTAAAAATGGTCATGAGCAAAATTTTAGCCTGGCTAGTATCTTTAAAATGAAATTTCAGGCCTTGTCTTAGTGTTTTTATTATGATTCTGAATAACCGATAAAATTAGAGTATGCTTAAAACATAGATATGATAGCTCAGGAGCTTAGTTTAAACTTATTTTTAACATAAGTATTTTTAAACATTAATTTTTATTTGCACAAACACTAATGGCAACTCATTATTTCTAGATTATATTAGAAAGGATAGCCTAATACTTATTTCATATACTGTAAAAAAATTTGAAGTACAGGGACAATTATTTTTGAGTAAGGACACATGTATTCAAAAAGTTGTAACAGAAATATAAGAATTTTTTAACTAACAAGATTCGCTGATACACAACTGAATTTATTAAGATAATGTAGCAATGACTTTAATTTATATGTATTTTAAAAACAATAATAATAGTAATAATAATAATAAATGCAAGAAAAAAATATATGCTCAAAACAATCAGTTTACAGGCTGCTAACATGTTATGCTTTTTAAAATAATTTTTTGATCATATTTAAAACATTTTAATTTAGCAATATAGTAAATATTTTCAATTAAGATAATTGTTCAGGTTAAAAAATCTATTTTTAAAAAATTTAGATACTATCACAAAGTTAGCATTAAGACATGAAAATGCTGTCTACCTCAGCAGTATTTACTTCTAGGTAAAAATGCTATTATCTGAAAACAAAATATTAAAATTATTAACCTGATATGTGTCTTGAAAGTCATCAGCAGATTGATTATGATTACAAAAGGTTGAAGTCTTCTCATTAAAGTCAACAATTGTTTCAGTAAAAGCCATACATTTTTCATCAAGAATTTTATAGCGTGAGTCATAGACACTAGCAGCAAGACAGTGTAAAAGAGTCTTTTGAACTTTACTTCGGTGTAAAAGATCACTCAAGTAATTGGCAAAGCATTTTCCACTATCTTTAACAATTCCAACTAATTCCGAAAACACAAGAGTAAGAACTTCCATGCACAAAAGACGAACATTTCTGTTACCTGTTACTTCATCGTCTGTTAACTTAACTTGACATAAATTAGGATAATGACTTCGTATATGATATAAGCAGGCTGCTACAATGACTTCTACATATGTATTGCTTCGAAACATTGTAGTAGCTTCAGCTGTTAATTCCCCGTGAAAATTATTCCCAAAAACAGATTTGCGATGTCGAGCTAAAAGAATTTGTAATTGTTGGCCCCTTAAGCTCAATGAATTACTAATATTTGTGGTAGCCATACTGCATAAAGCAATGCGTGGATTGGTCAAAATTATAGCTTTTAATGAGTAAAGAGCATAAAGAGTTTTTTGGGAATCATATACTTGACAATATAGTAAAATGTAAGTATGCAATGGGTGAACTGTTAATTGAGACATGCTATTAAGTTCACAGTTCTTTTTAAAAGTTCCATTTATGTCACCACTATCAGTAAATTCATCATTAAAATTATAATCACCAGAAGATATAAATTCTTTGTCACTATCACTATTTTCAATCTGTGAAATGATTTCCTCCAAAACTGAAGAAACAATCCCCTCAATATCTATTTCATTATCAAGGGTTTGGTTACTTTCATCAACATCTTCATCAAAAGAACTTTTTTGTACATTTTCAATATATTTAAGCTGCGTTAAATCAGTTGCAGAAACAATTGAATATTCTAAATTAGTATCACTTGCAAGCGAAGATAATGAACCAAATGGATTCACAAAAACTGAAATGGGCATTTTTAAATCCCGTTCATGACTGGAAGGCAACTCAAAATCTTGCATCATAGAATTATGAGTAACAAATGACGAGCCCTTTCCAGAATCAAGATTAACTAATGATGTTAAGGCTAATATCTTTTTCTCGGGAGTAGGTATTTGAGAGGAGGGTCGACTATCATCACTAATATGATAAATAACATGACCAGAAGTACTACTAATTGCATATACTTTAGCTTCATCATCATCATGGTGGGCACCTGTGGTTGATGATGCATAACCATCATCAACTACTAATTTTGGTGGACAATGTACACTGACATGTTGTACAGATATTCGAGCAGAGTCTGGATGAAGTAATATCAGTATGATAGGCTCAAGAAACCTGGCAACATCTCCACGTTGCAAAGAATGATTAAGCCAAGCTTGAGATATAGCCTTTTGGGGTCCAGTTTCTTTACACAGGCTGTCTAACATCAGAAACAAACATCTAAAAAAATTAGTGATCCCTATTAGTCAAATTTTAAGCATGCATTGTTAAGAAACAATAAAATAATTATGCAATAAAACGTAATTTTCAAACAAAATAAGCCGTAAAACTACCAACTATTCTATAAAAAAAATCATGTCATCTACAGAAATTTCTTTTATCGTAGTTCTGAAATATGGCTCAATATTTTGCAGAAAAAAATTAAGATCTCAATAAAAATTGTGAAAAGCTTTTTTCTCCCTCAAACAAGAGGTCACTTTATAAAAATAAAATTCCAGGCTACTCAATAAAATAAAAATTAGAAAAGGAGAACTCCATTCTTTGTTTTCTTTAAACTATAATAATAAACATTAGGCAAAAATAGCCAACTACATTACAACCATAGTATTCGGTAGATTAAATCCATATAAAAATTTTATCAAAAATATTTTTTGCCTCAGAAATTTTACAGACAAAGTTAACTTACAAAATATATAATTAGATAATACAGAATAGAAATAAAATTAATGTGAAAGAAAAGCTCAATATCACTGACCGATCAAAAACCCTAGTTATAGTAGAGGGTGTAGACTGTAAATTTAAATCTCGAGTCAAATGCCATAGTATAGCAAATTTCTTTTGTGCTTCTACTTGCTCCTGAAATGACAAAACAAAAAAATTATTTCCATTTAAAAAAATTTTTTTAAAAAATAACCTCATAAACAGAATTGTGATAAATAATTAGGTACCAACTTTTCAAACTAGCTATCAGTAATCAGAAGTACAAAAACACAGAAATAAAATGTTAGTGCTTATGCAATTCGAATTTACACAATTTAATATCCGACTTTTTGTATACTACGAATTTAATCTACTACTTTTTGGATGCTATTTTTTATAATTTTTTTTATTTTTAATTTTGGATAATAATTTTTTAAAAGAGCAGCTGCATTGTGTTATTGAGAAATCATATTGATGGTATGATGAATTTTAATGTGATTGCTAAGTGGTACTCTTAGTTACTTTTGCCAAGTAGAGTACTTTTAGTTAACAAGGGTCGGTCCAGGTTTTTCTAAGAGGTACCTATTTTGTGAAAATTTAGACATAATTTGTGAAAATTAAAAATTATATTAAAAAATCAACACAAAAATATGGATTTATTGTTTCTTATGGGATACAAAAATAAAATTTCAAGAAAAAGTATTTTGTGAAACTACTGTTTTTTCTGGACAGACCTCTGGTCAATGTTTGCAAACTGATAACATTAGTGTAATTACTGAATTTTTGTTAACTAGAATTAACTTTGATAATGATGATCAACTACAAGAGAGAAAATTATGATAGCATTATTGCAATCACTGGTTACCCTTTCGTCACATTTTTTTTTTCTGGATAGACAGTCGTAAACACAACATTTTAAGTTATGGGTTACAAAAAATTTATCAATTGATGTTTGTCATCTTGGTGAACAATGGACTGGATTGGTTTTCAATACCAGGTATTCAATACATGTTTCTTAATGAATATTATGAATATATTTTTTAATGAATAAGTTCATGGTTTTCAATATATTTCTTAAGATGTCGATATTCTTTTTCTTCTTCAGTACTCATATTTATATTAAAATTGCAGCCAAGTTAATATTTATGAATAAGTTAATTAACATAAATATACTTTAAATTAATGTTATGCAAAAACATTAAAAATGTACACATTATTGAAACTAAAAAAAAAAAAAAGACTCAGCCTGAAAAATAATCAACTCTAAGAAATTCCAAAAATATTGTGTTTTTTCTTCATTTGATCTTGTTGTGCTTTTTTTATTAATAATTTTTATTTAATTAGCTTGATTTTTTATAACTCCTGGAACTCCTTATTTGTAATTATGGTGTTGAGTTGAAGTTGATCTTGTCAAAAAGTGTGTGAACATGAAAAACCTAAAACAGCACCTATTTTCCTAATGTTTCATATTGAATTAGCAATTAAGTTTCTTCCATTTATCTAAATTTTTTAAAAGTAGAAAGTGTTAAATTTTTTTCTGATAATTCCCTCATCGTTTGATTAAAATTTTAGAACAAAAGTTGATTTAATAGCTCTTCATCAAACTCAATGAGGTGCATCTTTCAAGCTAAATATTTTTCTATTTCTTAATTCGGCAATCACTACCAATTCTTGTAGCAGTAGCTCCCTTAATGGTTATGTTAAAAGTCAACACCTAGCAGAAGCTAGATGTTTATTCTTAACATAAAAGTTTGCTTTTTCTACCACTTCTTGTCTGCATATATCTTAAAAATTTCAGAATGACCCTTGAATACCAAATAGCACATAGCTCTTATACATAATTATGCAGACTAATTTTTAAGAGATGATATTTTTTTAAAAAAGCAAATGCTAAAAACTGTAGAAAACTGCACAAAAATATCATATTCATACATATAAGTCAAATCAATATTACATTATTATACGAAATCTGGTTTTTTGTTTAAAAAAAATCTACTAACAAGAAAAATTATAAAAGACAGCTGAAAAGTTAAGATTCTCAAATACAAAGAATATTTAAGCTCAAATTCTCTTATGTAACAAAAATACTAAATGGAGAAAATTTTTAAATTACCATCTCATCTCCTGATGCCATAGAATTGCAGATAATTGTTTCACATATAGAACTTGTCGGAGATAAATTATGCACTTGTTGTAAAAGTTCTGTGCCACGTAGGCACAAGTTTGATCTTTCATCCCCTACATATTTCCATAGCTTGTTTGCAGCAACATTGAAAAGTGCAGTTTCATTGGAGAGGAAATCTAACTGTAATGCACTGATAGCTGGCGTTAAAGCTACTAAAACAACAGTAGGTACATTAGTTTGAGAAGCATCTCCTATCCCGGAATGATTGGGTGAACCTGAAGCAACTTCATTAATTTCTATATTTACAAGAACAGATTTTGTGAGTGCAATTAAATCAAATAGTGTAGAAATTGCAATAAAAAATATTTCTTCAGAATTAGCAAAACATGCTATAGTGATGATGAATTTTAGCCACTCTGGAATAGAAGATAATCCAGCTGTAAAAAATAAAAATAAAATAAAGAAATAGAAATTTAAAAAAAAGATAAATGTTTATTCAATAAACAGGGTGTCCCAAAACTCATAGTATTTATGTTGGTAGTGATAGAACAAAACTAGACAAGCACAAATCACCATACAATCCATGATTCCAATGCGAGTCATAGCATGCAAGAGGGTGTCTCCCTGAGACCGCCGTAAAAAAGCTGTTCACAGCAGCTGCTTTCAGTCGCTCTATGGATCATCGATGAAATGGATGCGTAATCAAATCAGAAGAGGGCTGAGATGCATTACATGTATGGAACTGCAGACAGCAATGCAAGAGAAACTCAAAGATTGTATCACATTTTCCAACACGAGGCATCCCCAATGAGAGAATATTTCAACGACTGCACTAACAACTCCGCTAAAAGAGTCCCTTTTGAAGTTGCATGCGGAATAGCAGACTTGGAAGGAGTGTAAGAACGCCATCCGAAGTTGTGCATCACATTACTGAGAGGCCTATATCTAGCACTCGGGCACTGTCCCAAGCCATTCAGGTTCCTATAATACAGTGTGAGGAATGCTGGGAGATGAAAAAATGCATCTCTACCATGTGCAGAGAATTCAGGGCCTGGAACCATCAGATTACCAGGCTCGTGTCAATTTTACATTGTGGTTTCCCAACAGCTGTGGACCCAGATTTTTGTGAACATGTGTTGTTCACTGACGAATACATTCGCAAGCCAGAGTATTTTATCATGTGCGGGCAACTGAAAAACCCATACGTAGTACATACACGTTCGTTCCAGCAATCTTTTGCACTAAATGTTTGGACCGGAAGCATGCATGATCATCTAATAGATCAACTGCCAACACACCTGGATGGAATTTAATACTGTTTTTGCAAGAGGTGTAGTCAGAATTATTAAACCATGTTTCAGCACATATCACACGACCTATGATGGGGTCTTAGTGTTGTTTCATTCATTTCCATGATTTCATTGAACAAATTTTTTTCTTCATTTTATCGGTTTCATTTCCACGTCTTCCAGTCTAGTTTCCGATCATTACATGACACAGTATGTTTTGTGCTCTAGCGCCTTATCTCTTGCTTTCTGACAATGGATTGTATGGTGATTTGTGCTCGTCTAATTGTGTTCTATCACCCTCTAACATGTGTACCATGAGTTTTGGGACACCCTGAACGTACAGTTGAATCTTTGCTTAACACTGTTCTACTTAAGGATAGTCTCAATTTAAAGACGATATATAAGAAATTTGTACCACCCCATCCACTTTTAGGCATACAGAAGGACAACTTGCCGCTGTGACAAGATGTATTCAACTGTGATCTATCATAACGGCCACTTTAAGAGATGTAGATGAAATGAAAGAAAACATAAATAAAAATGACGAAAATAAAAATTATGTTGAAAATGAAGTGATAAATGTGCCACCACTACCCTTTTATACAAATGAAACTACTTCTTCTATTCATCCATATGGCTCCTTTAATATGCTCAAAAAACCAGAACAAAATGTCGATCAAGATTTTTATTAAAAATTTATTTCATATTTGTGCTATGTTGCTATATTATTGATATTCTTTTTTAGAATATTAACCTAGTTTGTGCAGTAAAAATAAATTTTAAAAAAACAAAAAATTCCAATTTGTCAATTCGTTGATATTGAATGCACTTATCTATATAGTAATCTTAATGAAGAAATATATATGAAAATACCAAAAAGGATTTAAATCAGATTCATAACTTAATTACATTTCTCGTGTTATGCTTTTAAGGAAAGCTTTCTATGCTTTTAAGGAAAGCTTCATCAATCAGCTCAAGAATGGCATCTAGAACTGGATATAGTTTCATCAAATTTAAGTTTCTATAAAATTTTGAAATGTAACTACATGTATAATTATGATTGTAAAACTGTAATATTAGTATATGTAGATGATTTGGTTGTATTTACAAAATTTGAAAGTGATATGACAAACGTAATAATTTAATTCAGCCTAAATCTGATATAAAAGATTTAGCACTTGTTAGACAAGTGTTAGGGCTAGAATACAAGATTATTAATAGCAAATGGTTTTTGCATAAACATTATTGACAAAGTAGTTCAAATGTTTAAGGATATTTCCTAGGTTAAATGTAATGTTCTCATTCATTCCTCAAGGCTTTACTTTTCAATCTTTGAAACACAAGCCTTCAATTGAAGAAATTTTTCCTTATAAAAGTTTGCTATAGGTAATAGGTTTGCTATTATTTTTGGATTCAAGGTCAAGGCCATATATATTATTTTCTGTAAACGAATTATTGCAGTTTAATTCTCCTACTACTTTAACTCATTGAAAATTATTATGTAAAGTTTTTTATTATGTAATTTCCACTAGAATTATCAAATAGCTTAAGTAATACAAATTCAGATGACTTATATGTTTATTTAGATGTTTTATGGGCTCCAGATAGATTCCGCAAAATCAATTAGTGGAGTTGTAGTGCTTTAAAATAGAATACATATATCTTGGCAAAGTTCTGAATAAAAATGTATAACTTTGTCAACAATGGAATTTGAGTATATAGCAATAACAAACTTAGAACTTAGGTGAACTTAACTTAGGTGATTATTAATTTAACCGAAATTATTTAGTGATTCAAAAGGTGCTCTGTTTTACTGTCAAAATAAGGTTGAAAACACAAAATCTCAATTAAAAAACCTTTCCCTTCTCTCGCCACCTAGTTCTGGTTAAATTTGTTTGAAAATCACTGATTTTTTTTTATTTTTAAAATGTTCAATTTTTATAGAACTCTATATTGATTCATACTGCAGGGATAAGTTTGATAAAAAAAAACCAGAAAATAGAAATCCACAAATGTTATGTAAAAAAAAACACTTTTTAAATAATTGAGAAAGTATCTGAAATTTTTTGCATGAAAAAAGTGTGAGTAGAAAACATTTAATCACAGAAAGTTATCGATGGTTCATTTAAAATATTGATGAAAGATTTATTTAAACTGTGTGAATAGAAATCTCAATGCAAAATTTTTAAATCACGTGAATACAAATCTCGATATTTAATTTTAAAATTGCGTAAACATGAATCTCAAGGTTTAATTTTAAAATCGTTATGTTACGAATTCCAATGTTAAATTTTAACATAGCATGAATACGAATCTCGGTATTTCATTTTAACATCGCGTGAATACGAATCTCGATGCTTGATTTTAAAATCATGTGAATACAAATCTGATGTTTCATTCTAAAAATCAAGTGAAAATGAATTCCAATGCATAAGTTTTTAATATGAAACATGATGTGTGATCTTAATTTGCGTAAATAGGAATTGTGATGCGCGATTTTATCAAGTGTATGTAATTTTAAATTACATAAGCATTGATGGAAAAACAAAAAAGCAAATTTTTTTTTCCTCAGTTATTTCAAAAAAGATAAACTTTCTTTGAGGAGGTAGAATATTTCTCTTTTTTTTTTCTTTTGGGGGTAACATCAAAAAAATTTATGTGGTGGTGACAAATTATATGTGAACAGCATTCACACGTTCATGTATATTATAGCATGATAACCAGTAAAAAATTAAAAATTTCGTTGTCCTATAATCAGAACTACTGTATTTCTAAAGAAATACCTTTCTAATTATTTTCCAATTCTTGAATAAACATTGTATTTACTTGAGATATTTAAAAAATTTAGTATATAGGTGCAACAGATGTGCTTGCAAATAATGTAAAATTAATGAAAACAGAAACATTCAAAAAGTAAAACAATTACTATCCAAATATATGTGTGATAATTATTAAATAATGTTGAAAGTTTTGAGACTAATTAATGAAAAACAATTGTATCAATAATGACTAAATTTTTTCACAAAATGTAATATTAAACAAAAGAAACTGAGAAATTCAGTAACAATTTTTTTTTTTTTTTTTAATTTAAAAAATAAGTTATTTTAAGGCAAAACAAGATTGATTTGAATGATTTTAGAAACAAGATAAATTAAATATTTTATTAATTTAAAATTCATAATAAATTTTTTAATTAAAAAACTTATTTCTAATGGTCTGAAATAAATGCCATTGATATTTGATGTAATTTGGGTGTAACACTTTTCTAATAATGAGGTTTTAAGCAAATGCAATATATATTACATAATTACACAGCATTTTAAGAAAAAAAACTATTTTAGCACTATCTTATTGGTTTTACTTCAGAGAACAAAATTTCATATGCTTGGATTATTTAAAAAGTTAAATTAGCTACTAATTTATAACTTTTTTAATTAAAAAACTTATATCTATTAGTCTAAAATAAATGTCATTGATATTGGATGTAATCTGGTGTAACACTTTTCTAATAATGAGGTTTTAAGCGAATACATTAAATGCTGCATAATTACATTACATTTCACGGAGAGAGAAAAAATTGCACTATCTGATTGGTTTTTCTTCAGAGAACATAATTTTATATACTTGAATTATTTAAAAAATTAAATTTAACTTACCAGTTGATAAATGTGTGTCATACAACTGCTTGCAGTTTGTATAAAATGAAGGAAATGAAGAGAGTTCAACAAGTAGATTACACAAATAACGAAAAGTTTTACACATAATAATATCATCTGGTACTTCTTCTACCTCACTATAAGGAAGAGAACTGTTTTGGTCAGTTGCCTCTAAAATATCTTGTTTGTAAATGACAAGATCATCCGAAGAAAAGCAGTTACATTTAGCTGACAAGCATTTCTGTAACAAATTATTTAAATTTATATCTCGCTGGCTGTTTCCTCCTCCCTGAGGCAAAATTAAGGATTGATAACGCTCTAAAGAAGCTTCAGAGCTTTTAACCATTTTTTTCACTATAAATGTCACAAATAGTTTCTGAAATTTTTCAACACATAATGTTATCACACTACGTATATTCAATTCATAATGATCTTCTATTTCTGACTTATCTTGACAGTAACTGAAAGAATTATTTTTTTTAGAATTTAGCTGTGCAATATCAGAACTTTTTACTGCATATTCTGAAGTATTATTAACTTTTGAAGAATCGCTAGCTTTATTAGTATATTCAAATGAACTTTTTACCTCAGACATAGCATTCACAAGAGGTGGTTGCATTTTGCATAAAAGTTTTGAACATAATTCTAAAGCTATTGTAATATCATATACACATAAATTAGAACAGTTTTCAGAGAGCACATCAAAAATATCACTCAAAAGCTTAGGAAGGTGTTCAGTTTTTGCTTCTAGATAAGTTTCCTATAAAAAGAAGAAAAAAACTATAGAAAAACTTGAAGACAAGTAGTTGCAACATTGTGAAAAAGAACAAAAAATTAAAAATTGAGAATTAAATAAAAATAGAACATAAAACTAGAAGAAATAAATGCAGTTCATTTTACTATTTCTTTTTAAATGTAAAAGTTTTTAATGTAAATGTTTTTAATGTAATTTTTTAACGATGTAATGAAATTTTGAATTTAATGAAATGTAACCAACGGAACATCTTTAACTACATATTCAACATAAGTAAGTGCATGACAGTTCCAATTTTCCTGACTTTTCCAGGTAGCATATCAATCCTAGAAAAGACATGCTCATTTCTCTACAAAAAATAGATTAAAAAATCTATGAAAGTTTTAAAATGTTAAAATAGTAATATTAAAAAACAATTTCATATAAAATATAAAAAGATTTACTGAAACTATTGGACAGGAAAATTATTACAAACTAGGTAATTTTATTAATAATAATGTCAAAAGATACAATATTTTTCCAATATCTTACTAACTGCATCCACTGTTTTGAGGGGTTTGAGTAATTGCTTTACAATTAAAATTTTTATTTTAAATTCTTATAGAAAAGATACCTAAATGGCTTTCGTTTTTAAAAAAAGATCCAAATCATTTATTGGAAATTTCACTCACAAATCATTAAATCAAACGAAACAATTAATAAATTTAATTCCTAACTTAGGAAACATAATAAATATTTTTATAAATATTATTCTGAAATGAATATTTGATATAAATGTTTGTGGTATTCATTTAAAGCACTAATATTGGCAAAGACAACAACAGTTTCAAATGCAATTGCATAAAACTATTGTAAAAATTAATTTAGAAAACTAAAATAAAGTTAGAATCAAAGGTTAAAAGTTTTAATAAAAACCAGCTTAATGGTAAATTTTATTAAAATCATATTACTTGTGGAAATGAATTATCATGAGTAAACGAAAGCTAAAGATAAGTAAAATTTGGTTTAATGAAGTAAATACTAACCAGAGACACAATATCTAATAAAAAACTGACTAGAGTACATAACTCAGATAAATTAGGATCTCCTGATCCAACACGTTTTATGCACTTTGAGCAATCATCACTACTTTCTTCAACAGAATCGTCCGAATAAGAGCTAGGCATTTGGCAGGCATTGTAAAAGTGTTTTCCAGCATATTCCCAGAGATATGATGGTTCTAAGGTTCCAAATAATAAATTAGCAGATTTTTTAAGTTCATTTTGGTCCTTAGATGACTTTTGGCCTTTCTTATCATTCTTAGAAATGTAAAACTTTGATGAATGACAAGCTAAGTATAAGGACCTGTAAAATAGAGATTTTAATTCAGAAAACTATGGGCTAAAACATTATCAAAATTAAGAAATTTTACAATGAATATCACAACTAAAATCATGTTATTACAGCAACATTTAATTTTTCTTTCATTCAGTCTGAATAATTTCTTACTTCAAAACTATCAGTAGATTTAGCAAAATTACGACCATGGCTAAACAATTTTTACTAAACAAAAAAAGTAAAAAAGATATTATATGCATGTTTTCTAAAAACTAATAAGCATTTTTAAAAGCAAAAAAACAAACTTTCAGTATTGTTATTCAATTAATCATTATTAAAAAATAATGATATCCAAAAAAAAAGTGAAAAAATTATTTTCCTTTGGAATTGTGGTTAAAATAACCAGAGTTTATGCCATTCCTATAAGCTGTCCAAATTATAAAATAAACCTGGAACATATAATATTTCCCAATTTACTGAAGTCAGTACTATTGTACCCAGAGTTATGAATGTGTCAATTGGTATCAAGTAATATTGTACTAGGCAGTAAACCTACTTTAATAAACTGCATCAGAGCTGCATATTATTTCTAAGTATTCTGTAATTCAAGTTTAATAATTGTTGATATCTTTAGGATTTAAATAACATTTTAATAATTTTTCTTCCAGTTTAGCAAAAATTAAAAAACCAAAAAATTTATGTTATAATAGACATACACAGTTAAAAGATATATACACAGTTATAGTTCATTGAATATTTATATTATTCATTTGAAATGGCAAGATAAAATATTATTATTACTTTTAGTTTTTTAGTTTAAGTTTGATGCAAATTTAGTAGAAAATTGTCTATGTTTGTTTCATTAACAAAAGATGTATAAAAGAATTTCATAAGAAACTTTTGACAAACATAGGAGGGAATTTCATGAAACTGTATAATGACTAATCAAATAAAACTACACTTGAAACTTTTAGATCATGCTACAGAAAATCAAAAAACTATTTGTTTTTAATTGTTGATTTCTTAAATATACTTTTGGATATTTGAGCATATTATTTATGAGCTTTAAACTACAAAATAGTTAGTCTATTTAGAAACACAAACAATGAAAATATATTTCTTAGTTTCTAAGTGTTACACAAAATTTGGTTTATTATAATTAGTACTTTTATTATTTTATTTATTTATTGAAATAAAATAAAATTTCAATTTCAATGGCTTGCTTTGATACTAAAAACAAGTTGATTATGTAATATTTAATTTTTTTAAATAGTATGACAATCTACCATAACCGCCAACTTTTACACACTTTGAATATTTTTCAGTAATAATCAGCAAAAACAAAAAATTTTAAAATTAGGTAGAATATTTTTTTACATTACATCAATATAATTATGTAATGTAAAATATTATGCAAAATATAATGAAGTATAATTATGTAATGTAAAAAATATTTTTAACATTACATCAATTTCTATAATTGATCATTAAAGAAATCATCAATTATATATCGAAGTCTTTTACATATCTGGTAATTTAAATTCTTTTAATTCCAATTTTTTATATCAAACTTCGAATATTTAATCAAAACATTTGATATCATCGAGAAAAGTCTTCAATAGCAATTAGATAATCCCATAACAATTCGATATAATACATTCCAAACTAGTATAATACAAAATATTTGATACTACCAAGTTTACCTGAATATATCAATCATTATGTCATCTAAAATAGCAGAGCTAATTTCTGGACGATCTAGTAAGCTAATTAGCAATCTGTAGCACCATAAGTCAGCAGTGGAAGGCACAGAGTTTGATGGCATAATAGTCTGAGGACTCTGAAGAATTTTAAAAAAAACATTAAATTAAACTAACAGAGAAAAAAAACAGAAGTAGAGGGATTAACCATTAAAATAATGAACTACACACTATATTATTAATTAGACTATTGCTTATTATTAATCATTATAAAATGCATTTTAACAACAATTTTTACTTTTTTTCAAACAGTTTTAAATATAAGAATTTCTTTCTTGAAAATAATTTTGAAAAATAAACCCTTAAAAATGGCTTTGTATTTATTTCAATTCTTCTAACAACTTAATAATTAAGATTGTTTAAGATTGGCGTTAAGATTATTTAAAGATAATTTCTGCTAAAATAAATGACATTTTTATATTTAAACATAAAAATAATTCCAATATTCACACAAGGATAAGATATCCACAAAATTCAGTGAGATATTTATGATATTCTAATCAACTTTTCAGTTAGATATTTTTCTGGCATGGCATGAACTCAACTGTTTTGACTAGAATAATAAAGATCAACTGAGTTAAAATTTAAAATGGCCTACTCATTGTAGCATCTGCCAGAAAAATTTTAAAAAATATTTTAATTGCTTTTCATAATTGTAATTTTTCTCAAAAAAATCATAATAAACTGCAATATGGCAGTAACAAGATTTTTATTTTGATCCCTTTCAAAAAGAATGAGCCAAGAAAAAGCATTGCTTCTAATAAGAGATGATTCTAAGTTAAAGCATATGCTTATGTTAGAGAAGACCTTTTTAAATGTTTGAGAAGACTATACATACAGAACTTATTAACAAAAGATTCTTCGTTCTTATATTGATAGCAAATAACTTTTTTCCTTTGTAGCTGATAATAGGTTCTAAAAATTTTGAAATGCGATAAACTAAAAAAAAATGCATTGCAATTTTAAAAAAATGTATTCAAGTCCTTATATAAAAAAAATATGTTATTTTTCATTAAGTTAACTAAATTTACAAAACAAAATATAAATCAACACTAAAATGTATGCCAGATTAATGTATTAAGTATGCCAGATATTTTTAGAATACTTACATCAAAGCATTTTTGAAGTGCTTTTAATAAATATTCTTTAGAAAAATCTTTAAAATAGGAATTAGCATCAAACTTTTCATTTGATTTTCCTGGTGTTGTTTTATTTACATCATCACTACACAAAGAATCTCCACCCATTAACCAGGAAAATAAACGCCTGAAACAAAAGATAGTATATAATTGCAAATATAAGCAAGCACCAAAATAAAGCTCATTCAAAAATTCTATAATTATCAAAACTATATATTCTTTTTTTATATAACTCTTAAATTAAAAGATAATTGAAAAGTGAGTTATAAATACAGTGGAAGTTAAAGGGGTACTCAAAAATTTTATTGAAAATCTAAAGCAAAATAAAGCTAAATGTCTTCCATTTAATCCCCAGTAAAGCTGTCTACTTTAGGTCAAATGTCTGGAAGCTGTGGAATACATTTAGCAAAGTGCTATCAGTTGACCACATTATACATATTATAACTAAGATAACATTTTAAAATTTTTATAACATTACATTAGATCATTATAAATTTTTTATAAACAACATTGCAACTGGGACAAAGATTGCAAAAGTTAATTTTAAGAAAACTTCTTCTTCAGGAGCGCAACAGCCCTTTGCAGGCCTTGGCTGCCTCAACAGCACGCCTTCTCCAGCTCCCTCTGTCCATGGCAACTCCCCTCCAGTTCTTAAGTTTTAGGACTTTGAGGTCGTTTTCGGTGTCGTTGAGCCATCGAGTAGGTGGTCTACCTCTAGAGCGGGACCCCTGAGGGTTCTTGAAGGTGGCAATTTTTACAGGGCTATCTTCAGAGCCTCTCCATATATGTCCGAGCCATCTTAGTCGGTTGCTTCGGATTATCTGCATAATTTGAGGATGTTTATAGAGCCCATAAAGTTCAAAGTTGTACCGTGTTCGCCAACATCCCCCCTCTGGTATGGCACCAAAGATAGTTCTAAGTATCTTTCTTTCAAACGTTTCTATCGGGCGTTGTACGTCAAGGTTTAAAGTCCAGGTTTCGTTTCCGTATAGCAAGACAGGCAGAATGAGTGTCTTATATAATTTTAGTTTTGTTTTTTGGCTAATAAAATTCGATCTTAGTTGACTTTTTAGTCCAAAAAAACATCTGTTGGCCATATTGATTCTATTGTCAATTTCAGGTTTCAGTTTGTTTTGGTCATTGATAATTGTACCAAGATACTTAAATTCTTTAACCTTTTCAAAGGAATGTCCGTTTATCTGCAAAGGTTCACTATAGTTTACAGTTGAGCTTGAAAACTCCATGAATTTGGTCTTGTCTTCGTTAATGGAAAGGCCCATATTTATAGCAGAGGCCTCAAGGGCTTGAAAGGCATCTTTAACAGCCCGTTCTGATCTTCCAATGATATCAATGTCGTCCGCATAAGCGAGGATTTGGAGAGATCTGTTCCAAATAGATCCTCCTCGGTTTAAGAAAACAGCTGTTCTAATAAATTAAGATTTCTAGATTTAACTAGTTAGAAAACTTTAGACAAGAAATATATGCATAGTATTATCTAGTATTTATCTAGTATTTTATACTTCCCTTCTTAGGATCAATTTACAAAAACAAAAACCTCTTATTTCAAATTAATTAAAATTAGTGATATTTTCATCAGAATGGCAAAGACAGTAAAAAAGTTGAAAGTTTATAATTGTTTTAAAACTACAAGATTAGATAATTCAGCTGCTTAGAAATTGAGAAAGCTTTGATTTTAACTTATACATAGAAATGTAAATTTCAGAAATGATAGATTGATAGATTACAACATTATTGTAATTTTTATCATTTTGTTACCAACCGAAAATCAATTGCAAAAGTTATATAATTCTGTTTACTTAAAAATAAGCTTAAAAAATTTTGACCCACTAGATAAGGTCATTCACATTCATAATTTTTTTGGGTTTAAAAAGGTTAACAAGAAAAAAGAACAAATAAAAAAAAGTTAATTATGAATCAAAAATATTGATAACTTACAGAATATTTAATTTATATTTTATTACTAAAAAAAACAAGCACATGAACTATAAGTTAATCTTTAACTGATAGTTTCCCAATTGTGGCTGCATCACTTCTAACTTAATAAATCATTAGCCTTTTATTCCTTATCTTGTTTCCAACTCAAAACCCATTATTTCACATCCCTTTCAAGTAGTAACAAAGAAAACTATTTTTGGTAAAATAATACTTTCTTTAAGAAAAAAATAATGAATAAAAATAAAAAAACTTTTAAGATTAAAAAAAAATTAATGAAATTTCATAAAAATAAAAAGTAAAAGCAAAATTGCTTTTGAAATATTTCCATCAAGAAGAAACAGCTTAAGACATCTGAATAAAACAAGCATAGATAATCTTTGCAGGCAAAAGCCAGCTTACAAGCTATGATACTGATTTAGACAGGGTAACTCATTATAGTTAATCCAAAATTATTTCTGCATACAGAAATTTGAAATTTAATGGCAGCAAAGGAAGAAATGTAAGAAACCAAAATTGTTTATTTAGAATGTGAAAAATGCATTCTTTAAGGTTAAAATGAATGTAAGAAAATAAAAAATAAATACTTAAATGTGTGGTGTAAAGAAATTGTACACAAGTATTCCACATGCACAGATTATTGAAATTTGTAGCAGCATTTTTGATAAGTATTTATTTAATGAGAAAATAGATAAATATTATTGGTTGGATTTATGTAGGTTTAATCTTTTTGGGAATGTACTTTTTAATGGTTTAGACTCTTATAACCAAGTTATTGGAATTCCACAAGGTAATTCCCTTTCTGATACTTTTGCTAATATTTTTTTACATTTTTTTGAAGCTAAATTTCTTGAGTATAATGCTTTTAGATATATTGATGATTTGATTTTGTTTAATTGTGATAATAATAATTTTATTTATAGTATTTATCCTAAAGATTTGGTTTTGAAGAAAACTAATGAGAATTGCTTAAATGTTGAATATTTAGACTTTAAAATTGATATTGTTGATAAAATAATTAAAATTGGTGTTCTTGACAAAAGAAAAGCTTTTAAATTTAAAGTCATTTTTTTCTGCAACTTTAATACTAATCTGTGTAATAAAATTTTCAAAAATTTAGTTTTTTCACAATTGGTTAGGATTAAAAATATTTGCAAAAACGTTGAAAGTTTTCAGGTGGCTGTGAATAATTTTTTGAATAATTTCAGTAATAATGATTTTCCTTTTCATTATTCTAATATTAATTTTTTGATTAAGAAAATGATTGAAGAATACTAGTTTATTACTCCATTTAACAGGGCGAAATTCAAGTCTTATCTGAGAAGCCCCAGTTAAGCATTATATTAATTTGTTACATAATCTTTTTTTTTACTATTCTTTTTTTCATTCAACGCATTTTATAGATGGTGTCGTTCTCCTTTGCTTTAGAGTTTCCTTTGCATTTAGTTTGTTTGTGAAATTGCTGTTTGACCGGTTTAATGTGAGTTTTTATTTTCTCAAGATTTTATTGAAATTTCTTTTCTGATTTGGTTGTTATGTATTTCATGTATTTCTTCCTGGACTTCTACAAAACCTTCAGGGTACTGAGAGAGTTAATTTTGGCATTTGTCCTCTCTCTCAATAGAAAAGGTTTTGTTTTATGGCTTCCGAGGTCGGTACCCCCTGAAGACGGTCGGTGGTCATATTTTTGTTTCCATTGTTTACTATATTGCTTCAATTATTCTTTCTTTTGAAAATTCTGCTGCTTTTAAGCGTGTTTCTTTCAAAGATAGTTTTGAATATTTTGTATTCTTTTCCTAAACTTGTCTACGTTTAATTATTTTAAAATATGATTTTACTATAAAAAGTAAACTGATTGCTCTTTGTCTCATTTGGTTGATAGACTTATTTTTTTATCTTATAGTTAAAATTGTTTTTTGATATCACTAACTATTTCTCAAGAGTGAAATATTTTTCTGTAAAGCAGCTATTTTTTGCAAATATTTAATCAAAAAATACATTTTTTTAACTGACACAATATAATAATCATAAATTATAGTAATTGAATATATAATAGTTTACCTATTAAGAGACATATCTCGACGCAAAACTACAGTTACAGCTGAAGTCACAACATGAATCATATCCGATGTGAGAAGTTGGTTGCAATGTATAGGAAATCCCATTAATAACAAATCTAAAGCACACCTCTGAACAAGTACACTAGTGTCTTGTAATGAAGCACACAATCCTTGAACCTAATTAAAAAGACATTAAAATATAAAGTTAGTAGGCATAATTATAAGCAAAAATTAAATTAGAATAAGACATTATTAGAATAAGATATTTAGTTAGGTCTCTATTTTACAACTTAGTGGCTAAAGGTCTTTTTCATCTTGCTGAGAAATCTCTATAAGTAACTCTTTTTTTTCCCTCAGTAATATCAAAAATTAAATATTTTTCAAATTTTATCAAGAAAATTAAAACTTGTTTAAAATTAATGTCATAAAAGGCAGTGTGCAATTTAGCATGCATTGAGGATTCAATTGAATTGAATGCATCCATGCATTTAATTAACAGTTGAAAGAGAATCTGGTGATCTTACTTTTTTGGATGCTTTTTTATACGTAAATAATGATATTTAATAAAAATTATTATCACTGCTTAACCACCTTGATAAACATGAACGATTAAGCCCACTGCAGTAAACACAACTGTTATGAAACATATTTTGGAATTATTTTCAACATTATTAAAGCTGTTTAATGATATATAAGGACCTGAGACAATTTTATTCCCATACTTATAGTAGGAGACACTTTAAAAACGGTAATGGGAACCACAAACATTTCTATCTTATTTTAATCTATTAGTATTTTTTAGAGATAAATATAGGGTCTATAAATATTTTTTTTTCCAAACAGTGTTACAAACATAGACTGAATTACAATTTCATTTACAGTTATAAATTGAACATCATGTAATCTAAGAAGAGAACACATACTTGAATAAATATTTTGACTATTTTTCCCAACAAAACAAAATAAGTAATTGCAATACTGTTTAATTTAAAATATTTTCCTTTTCATATAAGCAACAGAATATACCACTAAATTAACTTTAAACTCCATATAGTTCTAACACTTATTAAAGCAGTTAAGACTTTCTTAAAAAAGGTAATGAAATCCACACAAAAATCTACAAATAAAAGTTTATATTTAACACAAAAAAATAAAGAACACAGTTGATAAATTATATGAATGAAAAATAAATTCCATAAAAGTATATTATAATGATAATTCACAGTAGTATAGAGAATTATCATTATAGCAAGTTTAATGTTATAAACAAATGCACAGATTTAATGATAAAATAGTAATAAAAAAGATGAAACATATATAAGATGAAACATATATGTTATAACATAAGTTATAACATTTCATTTTTGAATCTTTAATATTAGCATTTTGACGGTGACCTAAAAAATTGTCATAATAATAAACTTCTTATGCAGTACTTGTCTACATAGAGCTTTTACTGTATTTTCAAAGACCTTCTAAGTAAATATTTACCATTGTATCAACATCTGTTCCAAATATAAAAAGTTGATCTTCCATGCATAGCTTTCTATTGTAATGGCTGATTATAAATGTTACAGCTGGAAGTCGAATGGATGGATTGGAAAGTACACATTCCCACATACAACCATAGAAATAATGCTGTTCAACATTGTTGCAAACAGCTAGCAAAAGTTGATCTGTCCTAAAAAAAGTTTAAAAACAATACAATATCATTATTAATTATAAATAAACTAATTATAATAGAAATAATTAGATCAAAACTAGAACTAAGAATAATGAATAATTTAATTTTGCAATTTTAGTTCTTTTTATTATTTACTTTTTCAAAATTACTCAGTTTTTATCTATAATATTTTTACATTATAGATAACTAGATTTTATATTATAGATAGCTATAGTCCATTCCACCTTAAGTTGGCACTGCAGGGAAGGGTAGGATATGTAATACTTCACCTTTGAAAAGTAGTTCTTCTCTATTTTGGAATTAATTGCAGTTTAAATGCGCGTTCAAATATAAATAAATGTTGTATAATAAGAAAAGTTTATCTTGAAACATATATTCGAAGTTTTTCATGTTTAAATGTATTTAACTTATAAATACCTTCTCAGTAAAGCGAATGTACAAAGAAGAAGGAGGTGTTCTAGTTTGGCGCTGGATCAGTTTTCAAGGCCAAGGAATTGGCGTATTGACTAAGTTTTTACACTGGTCAGTCAGCTCGTTCCATTCTCCTTGCCTATCTCTTGTGCAGTTCGTTTTTCGCTTTCTTTCATTCGCATCGCTTAATTGTTCTTTTGTTTTGTTTTTTATTAGTTATTAACTCTTAATTTGTGGTTTTTTACTGGTTAGTTATCGTTAGCTCGTTTTTTATCACTATTATTCTTTTTTGCATTAATTGTTAATTTGTTGTTTCGTACTAGTTATTTAATGTTAGCTCGTTTTTTATAGTTTTTAAATTTTTTTTTGCATTAATTGTTAATTTTTATTTTTTTGTGATTCCTTGCTAAAATTTTTTTCTTCTTTTTTTGTTGCTAATTACTAAATGTTAGCATGTTTTTTTGTTAGTTTGTATTATTTTGTTACTTATTAATGGATAGCTCTTTTTCTTTTGTAAGTTATTAATCTTTAGCTTGCTTTCCTTTTTTAATTATTCCTTTTTTTTGGTTTAAATCGGATTTTTTTTATTTTTATTCAAATACACTGTAAGAACTTTGATTTATGACTAAAAAACATTTTTATAATTGTTTAATCAAAATTAAATTAATATTAAAACTATATTACAAGAATATTTTAGAAACTCTTAACTACCTAAAACAATTTTTTATTACAAAACATAGCTCTGAATGCATAGTAACCATTTCGAAACAAATGCATGATTGAAATTTAAGGACTAGATGAAATAGAGAATTTAAAGAATACTTTAACTTTTAAAACAAAGTTTCAATTACCAAACCATAGTTTTAATTTAAAATTGTGATTTCTTCTTTTTTTCTTTTGAATTTTAAAATGACAAAATAAATGTATCAGATTGTGTTTATAAGTATAGTCATTCATTAAAAGAAGTTCAGCGGAAAAAAGGTTTTAAAAAAATCTATGTACTAATTGAAATTTTTTTCCCACAATAATTCTTTATAGAAAATCTGATAATGCCAAAGATACTGTAAACATATTATGAGAAAAAAAACTTAAATGCTTACTTTAATCTGTACTTTCAATCTCAAAAATCAAAAGATTTTTAAAAATGTAATTTGAAATGTGCTGAAATCTAACACATACCAAGAAAACCAAGAAAGTATTTTCGTTAGCTAAAATTAATTAATGCAGCAATTTATTTAAAATGAATTTTAAAACTTAGAAAAGAAATAATAAAAGTATCAATAATTTAAAACACTGCTTTTTAATTTTTTAAATCAATATATATGTAAAAAAATTGATTGATTTAAATCAATGATTTTTTTGAAAAAATCATTTGATTTAAATCATAATTCAAATCGTGATTTAAATCAAGTTGATTTAAATCAACAAACCTTGTTCATAAATGAAAAAAAAAAAATTTTAAACCAGTATAGTAAAATTGTATTTGATTATTTAATTTTCTAAATATTAACCTCATGTACAATATTTAATGAAAATTTCTTATCTTCAGAATGAATGGAGAAAAAAAATAGACGGGTGAATATTATTAAACTGATGACAGTTGAGCATATTTACTGTGTAGCTAATTCAACATGTGATTTTATTATTATTTTTTTACGACAAAAGTAAAAAAAATTTTCGCTTTATTCAATCTCCTTAAAGATTCAAATTATGTGTTTTTTGCACCATGTGTAGCTCTGAAGTACAATTCGCTTTTTATAGGAACTTTAATAATGTGATGGCGGAAATTTAAGATTTTTAGTTTTGTTCAATTAAAGGGATTTTTAAATATTATCTGAAATACAAATTCCATAATATAAGTGTAAGTATAGGAATTGAAATAATTTAAAAAAAAAGATACAAAATGTGAATCATAATTTTTTTTTAACACCGAAAGGTCAAGTTAAACCAGTCAATATTTTAATTATTATTTTTGAAATACAAAGCCAAAAAAGCTGAGAAATTCTTTCTCTTATGTAGAAAATATTAAGATATTTCAGTATCTGACAAAATATTTCCAGACTAATTCTACTATACTTAAATATGATATTTTAAAATATGTATTTTCTTTTGAAAAAATGCGCCTAACCACCCAAGTAGAATTTCTCCTGATAAGAAATTGTGGATTGAATTCAATTCAGGGCGACCCCACAAAAAGTTTGCAGAAAGAACTGTCAACTGTTAAAATATTAAATGAATAACAAGATAACCACCAGGACAGGTCAATGAGCTCCTGTTGAGTCTAAGAGGGTAGGATATGNTTGAATTTTAAAATGACAAAATAAATGTATCAGATTGTGTTTATAAGTATAGTCATTCATTAAAAGAAGTTCAGCGGAAAAAAGGTTTTAAAAAAATCTATGTACTAATTGAAATTTTTTTTCCACAATATTTCTTTATAGAAAATCTGATAATGCCAAAGATACTGTAAACATATTATGAGAAAAAAAACTTAAATGTTTACTTTAATCTGTACTTTTAATCTCAAAAATCAAAAGATTTTTAAAAATGTAATTTGAAATGTGATGAAATCTAACACATACCAAGAAAGCCAAGAAAGTATTTTCGTTAGCTAAAATTAATTAATGCAGCAATTTATTTAAAATGAATTTTAAAACTTAGAAAAGATATAATAAAAGTATCAATAATTTAAAACACTGTTTTTTTAATTTTTTAAATCAATATATATATAAAAAAATTGATTGATTTAAATCAATGATTTTTTTGAAAAAATCATTTGATTTAAATCATAATTCAAATCGTGATTTAAATCAAGTTGATTTAAATCAACAAACCTTGTTCATAAATGAAAAAAAAAAATTTAAACCAGTATAGTAAAATTGTATTTGATTATTTAATTTTCTAAATATTAACCTCATGTACAATATTTAATGAAAATTTTTTCCCTTCAGAATGAATGAAAAAAAAAATAGACGGGTGAATATTATTAAACTGATGACAGTTGAGCATATTTGCTGTGTAGCTAATTCAACATGTGATTTTATTATTATTTTTTTACGACAAAAGTTTAAAAAAATTTCGCTTTATTCAATCTCCTTAAAGATTCAAATTATGCGTCTTTTGCATATGATATGATATTTGGTATCATATGATATTTTAAAATATGTATTTTCTTTTGAAAAAATGCGCCTAACCACCCAAGTAGAATTTATCCTGATAAGAAATTGTGGATTGAATTCAATTCAGGGCGACCCCACAAAAAGTTTGCAGAAAGAACTGTCAACTGTTAAAATATTAAATGAATAACAAGATAACCACCAGGACAGGTCAATGAGCTCCTGTTGAGTCTAAGAGGGTAGGATATGGCAGCTGAAAATAAGGGGGGGGGGCGTACATGTAGTAGGCGCTCCCTATGTGGATAATACTAAAAATCCAAATTTATACAATTTTTGAGAATTATTTTCTCTAGGTAAGTTCTTTTGTCTCTAAAAAGCAAATATATTTCAGAAAAAAATTATTTTTATATAAAAAAAAACTTCTGAAAAAAAAATTAGAATTTTTTATTTATTAAAAAAAAAAAGAACAGTAAATATTAAAAAACATAGGTATGATATTTTTCATGATCAATGATTCCCTGCCTATGTTGGCTTTTTCTTTCCCTACAAAACACCAATGTGGGATAAATTAATGCAAAAGCTATATGCTACAAAAAGTAAGCATATAAAAATAAATATTTAAAACAACGTATTTGTGTGCAAATATGCATTTCCTTTTTTTACTTAGATTTCAGCAAAAAAAAAACTTTTCAAATATATTTTTTTTCCTATTGTTTACAATTAGTTTAGTTAAGAAAATCATAATAGGAAAATCTGTTTTTTAAATACTAATTAAGAAATTAGCTTACAACTAGTATCTTAAAATAATAATTATTAGAAATGCTCTAAAAAATAGTGTTCTTTTCTGTATTCTGTTCAAAATTTTAGTATGATTCTCGGTTTTAAAAAAAAACATCGGCGTTTGGCTTTCTTAAACGCCAATACTGGCCACTTTCTCTCCTTTTTTTACTACCCCATCCCTCAACCGACTTAAAGTGTAACCCAGTTTCCATGACAACGTCTGTAATCCGGTCTGCCTACCCTTCTCTCTAGTGCCAACTTAAGGTGGAATGAAGTATAGATACTTTTATATTATAGATTATAGATATAGACAACTAATCATAATATTTTTTTCCTTTTACTTTTGTTATTTTTTTATAAGTAGCAATTTTAATAAAATAATTTGTCGGTTTTTCATTTTGGTGCAGCATATTTTGGGCAAATATAATAACATAAAAATCTGTGAATTTCGAGTTTAAATTATTAAAATAGATGAAAGTTAAGTAAAAATTAAAAAACTATTTTTTTTCTCTCTCTTGCATTTTATTCCACTTATAAACTTGGATATATTTTTTCTTATTCAAGTAATATTTAGGGAAATCTAATGAACTTTTGTTTCATTTGTACTTTTTTCTTATTACATTTTGAACTAATTGTTATAAAAAACATAAATTTACAAGACATTAAATAATCAAATTTCAGTTTGCTTGGCTATAAATATAAATAGTTTTGACCTATTAATGCCTAACTGCAAAAAGTGGTCTGTATATGAAAATAATTGCATGAGGAATTACAGAGCGATTGTACATATTTGACTACACCAGATGTATATTTCATTCTTTTACCTGATATTTTAGCTTAAGAAGAGCACAGGGCCATGACTTCAGAATTGAATTGAATGTGGGGTTTAGTGGCACAAGGTCCAAAACAGGACATACTGCGCCAAACACACGGTTTTAAAAACAGATTAAAAGGTTAAGTAAAGCACACGTATAAAATCAGATAAGAGAGTGAAAATTCTAAAACAATGTTGTAAAGTTACATACATTAAAATTAATAAAACTGCACGGTAAATTTACTAAAACACTAAATAGTATGAAACAATTAAATACAACTTAAAATTCCAATAGCACGTAAAAATGCAAAGATGTTAGGATGGTGATTTTTATCTAACAAGTCTCTTAGATATAAAATTGTGCTTCCAAAAAAGGTGAGATGTTGTTGGTTAAAACATGGGCAAGCGATTAAAATATGATGAAATGAAAGTGAAATGTTACAAGTATTGCATCGAGAAAGTGGTTCTCCGAACAGCAAGTGAAGATGAGTCAGTCGAGTATGTCCTATACGTAGGTGGGTGAACTTGACATCTGCTCTGCGCAATTGCAACACAGGCCAAGGCTCTAGCGTGGATTTAATTGTGTGCAGTTTGTTTTCAATGGCCATGACTTCAGATCTTAAAGTATTTACATTATTAATTTATTATGGTACATAGAACTCTCTTGTTTCTGAAAATTAAATTATAACTACAAAACATTTGTGCTACCACTTTTATTTATTGATTTATTTTTATATTTATTTATTCATTTATTTATTTATTTTTTTCTTTGAAAAAAGAAATTGACTTTTTTAAAATATGTTAACCACAAATGAGTTAAATTAGATATTAACCAAAATTAAATATTTTTATTAAAAGAAACTTTGCAGCCCTTCAGTTGCCAATAATTTGCCGAGGGGTATGAGAGAAGTTCAAATGAAAGAAAGTAAAAGTACTTGTTTCATTTTATACCTGTAATAACTTAAAACTTTTCAGACTAATAACAAGATAAAAAGGAGCACTTTTCATCAATTCTCTTTGAAGAAGTCATAAAGGAAATTATAAAAAGCAATAAATATAAAGCTGTCATTTCTCTTACACACTTCATAAGTCTAGACAGTTGCTAATTGAAGTACTAAGAAGAATAGTCAAATAGAAATATTTTCAAACAAAAAATTTTCATTAACATACCTATCATAATAATCGGATCCCTCTTCTAAACCTGGCAAAACTCCTATCAAGAATCCATTTAATCCTGGTCTAAGTTTATCTCCAAGGGGCAAAAAATGAGTCTCGTAAACAGTTAAAAGTGTTGGTCTGACATTCATCGCAGCATTTCCTAATAGTGGGAATAAACCAGCACTGTAGATAAACAATTCTTGACCTAATCTGGTAGGTCCAATACATTTAAATATTATGTCATATGTCTCTAAAGCTTTTAAATGTACACCACTAGGAAGAGCTGGGTGCATACATTGAGCTAGTCTTTTACTGATTGTGATGCGTCTTGGAATTATGGAATATTTAACATTACTCAGCAGGACCTATTAAAATACAGAGAAAAAGTTTTTTAATGAAATGCAATAACTAAAATTTTTTTTTAATTGTTAAAAAAAAAATTTAAAAGTCTTAGTAAGATATATAATAAATCTAGATAATCTATATAACAGAAATAATATGCATTTCAAAATTCATTTTACTAATTAACTTAAAACATTTAGTTTTCTATATAACCATCAACAGATAACAAAGATTTAGAATTATATGTTTAATGCATGGCAAAATTAAAAAAAAATAAAAGCAAAAGATTCAACAATAAATGCATTAGTACACATAAAGTTTTAACATTTAAAAATGAATAAAAGTATGTATATGAAGTCTTGTGAAACATTCAGAAACAAAAAGATTTTAATAGTATGTGTCAAATATTATATATATTTAATNGTTATCTTTGGTTAGTTATTTGGAGTTATATATATATATATATATATATATACACTAGAGGGCTCCAGACCCTGCTTGCTAATGCTCACCAACCCCGTGTTATTTTTCACATTTGTTATAAAAATATAGTTCTTCTTGGTTACCACTCAGTTTATATTGAAGAAAACCATCTCCGTACATATCCGTTATGTCACTGAAAGCACATGGAAATTTCTTTTTACACACACCCATGGAACAATCGTAATATGAAGTAGTTTGTTAATGGGGCCCACGAAGCATGTGCTTTGTCGGGAATCTCAGAACAGATGAATCTATCAAGCAACCCTGATGCAAGTAGTTCATCCCGAGGATTTAAGATGAATAGACAGTAAGTGTGGGGTAAACCTCTCTTCTGAAATTGAATGTTACATGCATATCCCATTATTTTAACAATAACAGCTTAAAAAAAAGCATGAACAAGAATATGGGGAACGACATTCGCAGCATAGCCTGAAGTGTCATAAGAAACTCCTGTAGTTCAGGCGACTGAGGATTGGCAATAAATGTTATAAATAAATCTGGGCGTCTAATTCCTCTGGATAAAGGCATGGCATCTTGGAAATGTTGCTGCATTGAGTGAGGACTTCCTCCTAATGTTGATGGTGGTTCCATAACTCTACCAAGTCACATGGAATCAGATGTGCTTACAGCACTATGCTCGTTGTGATCAATTAAACCTTGTACACTTTCTCAGCGAAACCGGACCTGATATATGTGGATATAATTTAGACGATTCCACTGATTTGTTCTACATCCTTGAATCACACATTGCTGTAACAATCTACCTGCTATAGTAAAGATGTTAAAACCATGGCAACTGCCATTCAAAGTACTGCAATGCTGTTATTGTTTAGGAAGAAGAAACATTCTTATGCATATTTATAGAATATGCCAGGATTTACCCAACAGAAATAGTAGTGGAAAAACAATGAAGCGACAATCTGATGGCAATTTTAGAAACTCACGGTGATGCTTGAGATACACAATAAAATCTACTGAAGGTGGAATATAACCATCACTGCCAGTTACTATTACTGCAGCTACTTCAGCAGTTGCACTTTCAATTGGTACATTGTAGCAATGGCCATCTGACACAACAGAACGCGGAAACATTAAGCTAACGATGTTTTTTTTAAAATATTTTGTTCATACCTATGAAAAAGTGTTTTATAATTCTTTACATATGAGTTATTGTAAATAACAGTTTGTATTTACTGTAATATGGATGGACGGCATTTGTCAGAAAATCTATATTCATTTGCTGAGTCAATCCCATGCTTATAAATTTGAGCATATTTTGGTTTTGCTGCATTGTTTGAAAGAAGACTGGTAGTTGCATAGGCATTAATTTCACCTCTTACTGTCACACAACTGAGGCCTTTAAAAAGAATTTCTTCAGAAGGTGAAAATGCTGCCATTGCAGATGCAGCATTTTATAAATGTATATTTTAACGAAAATGTAGAGCATCAAAAGTGTTACCTAAGGATATTGAAGAGATGGATCAAGCTTAACATACCCTGATGGCAACAATTATGTTTCACACTGCCACATTCATTTTGAAATGATAAAGCATCACAGTGACTACATTTCATGGTCATTCCACCAATTAAGGGCGGTGGGCAATCATTACGAAGACATTCACTGAGATACTGACATTCGTTTAATTCTCGATATCAATTTATCCAAGATGTTCGAGCTTCTCTACAGCGATCACTAATAAGTTGCCTGCATTGTTTAGCACTTGTATTATTTGCTTCACTTCTCTGTGAAGCAGCATTTCTAGCTTCCTAACGACGATCATTCATGTGTTGTCTCTCATGTTCATAATATCTTCTATTTTTCTCATGAACTCCTCTTTGTCGATCCACAGTAATGCCACTCTGCTGAGTACAATTGCCACTTTCCATTAAAGAATGGCAATAAACAACAACAAAGTGAAAAATAATCATAACAAAAAGAATAAAATATTTATTTTGTCACTGCTTTTGGTATCAGCTTGTTAAACTAGCTTGTTAAAAATAATGTAGAATTTGAAATTTTTTCAAAGGAATACAATTTAAAATTTAGCCAAGAAAAAAACTACAGCTTGTTTAATTGATTGTTTTTCAAATATTATAAAATTGTGAACCCTAACGTGAAGAAAAGAAACAAATGGAAAGTCTTTGAAAACCAATTCAATATTTTCTGCAAAAAAGTGTGCGCAAAATAAAAAATTTAACATCCTGAATAACTTTTCATTAACTAATTTTCAAGTAATTGTCTCAATATTGAAGATTTCGAGGGTAAATCTTAAATGTGCTAATTAATTAATGCAGATGATATTTTACTACACAATTAATTACAAAATCAGAAACAAAACCATACTTGATATGAATAAACAATTTATTTCAGTGGGTTGGATGTTAGCAAGCTTCAATCTGGAATATATGGTTCAATAGTATAGGCTGGAGGGCAGTTGAAAGTTTGGACCCCCTAATGTTAATTTCACTTTTTGCTCATTTCCTTAAATCATGAGAAATTTTTAAATGAATCGAAAGAATTTTCCTCAATTATAAAATTGGTTAATCTTAATTGGATAATTCCATTCACAAACATTTTTTATAATTACTTATTATTTTATCTAATCGTAGTCAAAAAATTTCTGAGTTTCAATGCATTCAACTCTTTACACAATTTTAAATTATGTATCTTTAAATTACAAAAAAGAAATACTGAATGAAATAGATTGAATAATTTATGATTTATAGACAGCGGATTAAATGCACTAAAAAACGGACAAAATATGCATGCAAATATGCACTAAAAAACTTGAATATATGCTCTTAAAACTAGAAATATGCATTTAAAATAGAAATTAAAAGTTCAACTTATTTAAATACTACTACTTACTTTTTCCAACAAACACAGCTAAAACATTTTTTTGTTAAAAGGAAGAAAATCAAAATATTTCTTACTTGAATCTACACATTTCTGAAGAAAAAGCCTAAAACTGAAGTATGATAAATGAGAGAAGAAAAATCATCGCATTTTCCGGAAAGATTTTATTAAACTGAATAATTTTTGTTGCAATACACAACTAAGTGTTTTTCCAAATTTTCAAGGGTGAATTGATGTCATCGGTCATCAAAGATCATTTTGAAAGCAGAAAATGACCTTTCCACGTCAACCGATGTTATTGGACAGAACTTGTACAATTTTGTACTCATTGGTTTTACTTTCTCTGGAAGTTCAGTTCCGTTTCCATTAAGAAAATCATTTATCTTCTTCACTGCTGCAAAGCCCGAATTTTTGTTTGGAACGAAACACCATTTTTCTTTTACTTTCTTCCCAACTGAGTCTGGAAGAGCATTGATGCACTGTTGAATTTTTTCAGTTTTGGTTTCGGATATGGCCTCAGCCAGGGGAAGACCTCGTGTTTCGAGCTTTGTTATTGCTCCACTTAAGAAAGAAAAGTGAGTGTCAATTATGGCCAAGTCCTTCTGCAAAGAGATATCCTGTACTAATTCTTTTGTGACATAAACTGAAGAAGCACAGGAACTGTCAATTGCATCTACAACTGACTTTATTGCATCAAAATTATTAGCGTAAAAACGTGCAGCTTCAATCCATGTACCCCACCTAGTTATCACAGGCTGTGGAGGTAAGGGCAAATCAGGATACATTTCTTTATACAATTTTATGCGCACAGGTGCCTTGAGAAAAACTTTCTTGATACTAGAAATTAAATCATTCACAGAGGAGAATACTTCTTGAACAGTCTCAGCCAGTCTGTGAACCTACCACAGAAGCCTTATTTTTCCCACACAGATTGACAATTATTTATTCCAGGAAAAGACATCCCTTCATAGAATATCTAACCATCCCTTTCTGAGGTTTCTATGACGAATGTCTGTTTGGGTGGGCCCTTTGTACCCCCCTTCCCGACACACACCTCATTTCTACATCTTTTTCACGTGATTGCAATCACCCCAGCTGACCCTTTCAGGTGATAAAGAACAAGAAAACAAAATTTAAAGCGTTCCTTATGCTAACATAAAAAGAATAGTGATATGGTTTTGGGAGGGAAAGCCGTAAAATGCTGAAAATATGCATTTATAAGAGCAAATATACCTTTTTATGCATTTATATGCACAAGTGGCAAAAAGTGCTAAAATATGCAATTGCATATGCAAGTATGCAATTGCATATTATCCGCTGTCTAATGATTTAACAAAATTTAAAACCATATATTTAAAACTTGATTTGTCAAAAACTATTCCACCAATTTCATTTAAATATTGTATTTCGTTTCTTAAAATAACATATTTAAAACTGTAATACCTTACTCTTCATTTGATAAAATTAATAATAATTTTTTTTTTAATTGAATTATATTCAGCCTAATTGTGAGCAAAAACTTTTTGATTCACTTACGAAGTTCCCAAGATACAGTGAAATGCACAAAAAGTGATGAAGTGAATTAATATACAGGGGTTCAAATTTTTAACTGCTCTCCTTAACTATTGAGACCATATTTTCCAGAGTGTGGCTCTCTCCTCCAACATATTTTTCGATGGTCAGAATTCCAAATCTGTCAGAAAAAATAAATTATCCTGAGAAAGTACTTTTTTTAGTCAGATTTCATAGCTTAAAATCGTGTCAATATTAGTTAACACATTTAAGGTCAAGTCCTCGGACTGTTAAGGTTGGATAAGTGAAAATCCAATCATTAGATTAGATCAAAAGTTTCTAGACGATCACGTCTTTTTTTTCGCACAATATGTCAAATTTAGCTATTTTAATATGAGTAGAATCCCAGACTCCTCTTAAAAACAAATTATTCATTTCATCTAAATTTAAATTAAACTCATATAACGCTATAAAATGTGTCAATTTTTGTGTAATGAATTTTGAAGCCAATGAAATTTTCTCATTGACAAGTATTTTATTGGTATTTGAAATAATCCATTTAAAATCTATTAATTAAAGCAACTTACCCAGTGATAAAAAGAAATCATATAATGTTGTAACAATAACCTCAATAATTAATAAATGGGAAGGAGGAGCAAAACTTAAACTAATTTAGTAAAAATTTGTTGCTTTTTACGTCAGTCATAAAGTCTTCAAAGAATCTCTGGGAGAGTCTTGTTTCTTTTTTCCGGCCTTGCTGCATTATTAAAACTTAAAAAAGATTAATACTTCCAACTAAAAATCCAACTAAGTTTCCTTGAACATAAAGTAAACAAAACTCAGATAGAATAGCACTCTAAAATCTACTTTTGTTTTAATAAATGTTCAATTTTCTGTGTGGAAATTATCAATTGATGTAGCCCCTAATCATAAAATTGGTTTAAAAAATATGGCAATCAAGGAGCCTCTCTTTTAATAGCCATCCCACTTTTTTGTAACGGAAGTTGCCACCAACAGAAGCAGTTGAAAAATTTAAAGTTTATCTTATCTTCAACAATATAAAGAAAAATAGTATTTTTCACTGAAAAAAGACAAAAGTATAGGATGACAATTAGCGGTCCCCAAGATGTTTCAGAGATAAAAAGGATGCTTTGACACATCAGTGTAGTAAATCAATTTGTTACACTTGTTCACATAAAACTTCTTCCTTGCTCTCTAGTTTTGTATTTCAGGCCTCAACTACCGATTGAGGTTTTATATATGCTATCAACTTTGTAGGTGGTCCATATGAAAAAAAAAGTATTGGTCATTCTGTGATGAGATACTGGCAATACACAACTTTCTTTCTTTTCCGTGGGATTGCAATAAATATAATACAATAACAATTTAGTTTAAAGCATGATCTTGTGTAAAAGCTTACAATTGAATTAAAATGTGTAAAAAAAGTATTTAAAATTTTTTTTCTTTTGGTGCTTTGTAGTGCTCCCTAATCTCTGGTGCCCTACGCATGTACTTAGTAAGCTGAATCGTTAATCTGATTCTGCAGTAATGTTAATATATCCTTCAATACTACATTTATATATAGGAGCCCTACTTATACAAAAGTAGCTAAGTTTTACCCTTACAGAAATAATCATGGAAAACACTAGTTTCCAGAAAAGTCTAATGTTTTCTATGCACTTTATATAGACTAATAACATAAAACTTTCTAGAAGTAAATTATGCAAAATGAAGCTATAAGTGTATGTCAAATAACAAATGATCGAGTTATAAGATAGGTTATAAATATACAATCTGCTCTGTAACATATTTTTACAGAAAAGTTATATATGTGTGTATATATTTATACATATATATCTAAATAATTATTGGTTAAGTTATGATTATGAATACAGAAATTATAGTACGCATACCTTATTTAGTTTTGCCAAAGCAGAAATTAGATCTGCCCATTCACTAGTATATTCAAAACTTTTCAAAGCTTTATCAACTGCTGATATATATGATCGATACCTGGAATCCCCAAGTAGCTCATATTCTTCCAAAGCAATACCGGACATTTCCAGTAGCTAATCTAAAAAATATACAGAAAAAAGAAAATTTGAAATAAGGTAGAATAAAACTAAAATTATAGAAAGCAATGCATAAAAAAGTAACAAAAATTTCTAGCAAAATTAAACAAAAATTGGTCTTACATCCTTTTACATAATGAGTAAAAAAAAAAAAATTAAACTATTTTTAAAAGATGAAAGAACACATTGTACGACATGAAGTGTGGCTTATTAATAAATATACAATTTCTTCAATGCATTTTATATCAGTGACAATATAAGATATTTAATATTACCAGTTACAAGAGCTTGAGATGAATGCTTATATTTAGTTTAGAAACAGTCTCAGGTACCATTAGTTTAGGTTACATTGTGATGTGTTATTTTATGTTTTAAGCATTAATAAGCATTGAGAAAATCATATTGTCAATTGTCACTTCTGATTTTATAATTTTCCATAAAAATGAAAAAACTTATCTGTGCAGAATTTGCTGGATTTATGTTATTAAATAAATATTAGAATTTTGGAATTTTAACACAACTAAATTAGACCTGATAACTAAAAATCTATAAAATTTAAGAATTCCCAAGCATGGCATACATCTTTATTATCTAACTCTACTTTCTGCTCATCTTAATTAAAAGTGTCCCGAAATTCTTATGCTATAGCTAATAACTCATTATAAAATCCGAGTAATTTACGTTCTGAATAATATACTTCCCTCTACCTTTTATAATTAAATACTACATAGTCAAACATACTAGTCTACATACTTTCATAGTCAAATAATATGTCGCCAATTATTGGATATAAATTAAGAGAAGATTTCAGTATCCTGACCATAGCCAAAATAGCCAAGTCTTGGCAACTTCCAGGAGAGCTTCCAGGAGCAACTTCCTATGAGAAATTCAAAACACATCACAGAAGTAGACCAACTCAAAGAGTATAATTCTACTTGTTCTTTTAAGAAGTTTTCTAATTTAAAATAGAATTAGTGCCTTAACGATTGTAATTGGTGGAACATATAACACAATACAAAAAAATGCCCTGCTTAAAAAATGAATTACTTAAAATTAAAATGAAATTGTAATCATTCTAAACTCTACAAAATTTAACTAGCATTAAAATGTAATTAGTAACAAAATTTTTAAAATGCTTTCTGTGTTCAAAACATTCCTGATATGAAAAATTTATGTATTTGTCGAACTTGTTTTAAAACTTTCAGTAACTACTTTTCTTTCACCATACATTTTATATTTCTAAAATTGTGAAAGATAGAAGCTATTCACATGTATAATAAATGATTACAAAGAATCAAAAAGGATTAAAAATCAGTGTTTTATTAAGAACTAACATAAACTTTCAACAGGAAAGTGTTGGATATTGAAATCAGACTTAAATATGATAACGTTTGAAGGCCACCTTAATAAAAATGTCTGGACATACTTATGACTAAAACATAACAGCTTAGATTATATTAAAATGGCATATAATGCTAAATTTTATAATGATTCATAATTAACTAAGCTAAACCAATAAATATAATTAAAATATTACACGATGCAACAATAAAAATATAGAAATCAAAAGAAATATCGAAAATTAAAATATTCCCAACTTACTATGTTATTCACAGACCCTTTAATATCTGTTTAAATAATATCTTAAGTAAGAAATTAATTAATAGCATAATGAATCAATGAATAGAACGAACTTAACATTCTGCATTGATTTAACATTTTAATCAAAATACAATTATATTGATTAAGCATATAAACTATGCAGAATTTGTAAATCACTTAATATTATATTTTAATGTTTATCAGCAATTATTTCATGGCATCTAACCAAGGAAAAGTGTTTAGTTCGATGAAACTCTTTCTTCGAAGACTGCTGAGATTAATCTTTGTTGACATCACATGATGACAACAAAACTGAAAGTAATGCAATCACAGTTACACTCGAAAAATTGCAATGTAGGGAGGTACTTTATTTGCGTCGCACTAGAGCTGCACACTGGGCTATCGGTAACGGTCTGGGAACTAACTCGCAGCCTTCGAACGAGCTAAGAAGAGAAAAATGACGTCATTTTGACGTCACGTTTCTACTCGTAGGGTAAACCTGAACCTCGCGATTTCGAACGGATTTTGCTAACGGACTGCTATCTTCATTTTTCCTCCTATCTATCGAAAAACTTTCACCTAACAATTTGCTGGTGAAAGCGATTCGAACGTTCGAATAGAGTGCGTTTAACGTTGGGATTAAATTAAATTTCCGATTTCAAAGATAATTTTTACCCAGATATTTTATGATTTTTTATAATCATTTACCTAGATATTTTATGAATATATTTCAGACATAATTTTTTTCTCTCACAAATTTATTATTTCATGGATTAAATAATATAATGGATAAATGGATTAAATAATTAGTTTCGGTTTCTAGCAGACCTTGTAATAAAATCCATAATAATCTTGCACAACTTTAAATAAAACGTGAAGAAAAGTTTGCTCCAAATTTTTGTGTATTCTTAGCCCTAATACGTTTAGTATAATTAGTTTCTTGCAGAACTTATAAAATCTATAATAATCTTGCACGACTTTAAATAAAACGAGAAAATTTTTTCTGTTCCAAATTTTTGTGTATTCTCAGCCATAATATGTTTAGTATAATTATTGACGTGTTTTTATTAACTTTTATTTTAATTACCTCGTAATATTTTCAAAATATATGCAGAAAAAAATGGAATTTTTTTCTTTAAAAAATTGATGAGTTATGACTGAGATTCGTGCATAATAAATAAAAAAGATTACTATAACTAAATCGTATATAATATAAATAAGAATTACTATAAATTGTATACTTATTTTTAATCCGCTGTGTAATTTTCTATCAGAGATTTGAAAGAACTGAAGCTTTTAGAATATGATCGATTTTGTAATTTTTATAAAGTAGTTGATTAGTTTAGATGCATAATTAAGAAGCATAATTTCATTTATTTTCACTTGTCTTTTGAGTAGGATAGAATACAAGTGGGTAATAAAAAGCATGGAATATGAAGAACGGAAATTTTTTCGATATAATCGTTTTTGAATTATTATTAAGTTGCAGATAAATTTAGATGCATAATTAAGAAACATTGTTATTATTTTTTTTATTTTTCTGTTCATAATTTAAAATGCGAAAATTTCATCTTTTATTTTCAAAGAAAAAAAGATATTTTTATTCTTTTATCTATAATGCCAAAATATATTCGACAATTTATTTTTTAAAAAATTATGTATTATTTTTAGGAATAAAATTTGCTAAGATTAAGATTAAAAATATTCCAAAATCACCTTTTTTAAATTTTTTTTGTTAGAAATAGCATTAAAAAAGCAATTGAATAAGAAAAACGTTTTAGAGTTATTTCTTAATCTTCTGTTTGACATTTGACCTTTTTAAAACAGTTACTCCTTTGATAAAATGGTAAATAACAAATTTTAGGGTGGAAGAAAAAACTTTAAGCATTATTTTCTTTTCTGTTTTGAGATTCTCCATAAGTATCAGCTAAGTTATTCTAAAGATATTCACTTATACTTATTTGTTATTATTAAACTAGAGTTATTATGTTTTTATTCAAATAATGCTTTAAATTATCTAAATGTATGCGATTAATTCTACTTCAAAAAGTTTCTTCCGAATTTATGCGACGTGTAAAAAAAGAGAATTTCTTTTGAATTGCTTTAGCATAATTCATTTATATACAGAATGGTAAATCATAAGAAAAAAATATCCTGCGTCAATCAGAAAAACAATTGAGAGAATTTTGTTATTAAAAAAGTGTGCAATGAAAACTAGTTGATATTTGCATCGAGTTAAACTACTAACACGAATTTGTAATAAAATGAAATCACGAATAATCCTTATGACTAGACCTACAGCAATGGAAATGTATAACTAAAAGTTCCAACTCCCAAAAGTTGTAACAAAGTTCTCACGATTTGACACCCTTGTCTTCTGAGTTGGATTCCATGTAAGAATGTAATAAAAAGACCGGAATATAAAGAAAGAAAACTTTTTTAATAAAATTGTTTTTGAATTAATTGTTTTAAAGTTGCTGATAAATTTAGATGCATAATTAAGAAACCTTTTTTTATTAGTTATTTCCTTAATTTTCCTGTTCTCAATATTCCAAGAAAAAAATATTTATATTTCTAGTCTTATAATTATAACATCAATATATACTCGAAAATTTGTTTTTTAAAAATTATGTAATATTATAAGAAAAAAAATTGTTTAAATGAGCATTAAAAAATTTCTAAAATCACGCTGTTACTTAAAAATTGTACTAAAAAAATTCTAGACTAAAGAAAACTTAGTTTTTTCTTAAACTGTTGTTTGACATTTAAACTTTTGAAAATACTTATTGTTTGTATTACAAATTTTAGGGAGAGAAAAAATCAAACATAATTGCTTTCTCTGTTTTGAGATTTTTTTTTAAATATTAGCTAAGTATTAATAATTTGCTAAGTATTATTAATTTTTAAATATTAACTAATATATTCTGTTTTTCCTGTATACATAGGTCATTATTATACTAGTCTTTTTTGGTATTATTCAAGTAATATTTTAAGTTATCCTCATTGATGTAATTAATTCTAATTCAAAAAGTCTCTTACAAATTTATGTGGCACTTAAAACAAATAATTTTTCGAATTATTTTTTCATAATTTATTTACATGGTAAATGATAAGGCAAAAAATAAAATCCAGCATCGAGTATAAAAACAATTGAGGATATTTTGAAACTGAAAATGTGCTTAATTGAAAGTATTAAAAATATTTGTAACGAGTTAAACTTTAAAAACGAATTTGTGATATAAAAAAAATCACGAACTGCCCTTACGGTTAGAACGACAACAGTGAAATTGTGTAACTAATAACTCTAGCATGAAATTCTTAAATAAAGTACGACTACTTGGCATCCTTATCTTCCGAATTGGGTTTAATGTAAGAGGGTAATAAAAGGCAAAAAATTAATTGCAGAGAATTTTTTTCCAAATCTAGTTCAATAGAATACAACGATTGAAAATACCATTTTCAAAAAAGAGATAAATTATTAAATTTGAAAAATAAATATTGCATTGCTTGAGTTGCGAATTGTAATTTATTATAAAAAATATTATAAAAGAGAAGAAAGTAATGTTTTTTTGAAAAAATAACTTAGAATTATTAAAATGTATAAGTTTGGAATTGCGAAAGAGAAAAAAAAAGAGGAATCATAACAAAAAAGAAAGTGAAAAATTGAAAAAACTGTTTCTTTTAAAATTGTAATGCAATTTTTTTTTAAGATTATTTAAACTAGCAATTATTTAATAAATGCTAGTTTAAAGTTTATTTCATGCATTCTACCTATTTATTAAAGTTTATTTATTGCGCGCTATTTTGATACTTATTGTAGCTTTAAAACTAAAAGATTTCAGTGGTATAAAGTATAAAGCTACACATTTTATCAATTGCAAATATTAAAAAAAATCATTATAAATAATAGAAGGTAATAAAGTAATCATAAATATAATAAAAAAATTTTAAATAATAAAATAAGTAAAAATAGAAAATTGCAAAATTTTGTGAAATTAAATAACCTTTATTAATCATTAGTTCGTTAAATCTAAAAGCTCTCGATAATATACATATAATTTCTTAAGTTTCAGAATCTAGCGATAAAATTTCTGCATGAATCAATTACATTTATTTAAAACAACATTCAAAGTATGATTTTTAGAAAAGGTAATAAATAAAGATGTATTTGATTTGTAATCTGATGTTAGTTTTTATTTTAGGAATATTTCTTTTCTTTTTTTTTTTTTGGCAAACTGTTAGTAAATATAGTTATAGGTAAATCGATTCTCTAATAATAAATACAATAATGCAAACAAGTTTAAAACGAATACTACATATTAAATTCTTGAAGAAAGATCAAAGATTAAAATATGTAGATATTTATTTTAGACTATGTATGTAACTGTCAAAATGAAAGAAGAATACATTCTCTTTCTGAAAGAACACTGTAAACTCTGGGATAGAGGTCACAACTCCAAGCGAGGGCAGAACGATTAAAGGATAAACAAAAGCCATTGGTCCCTTCTCATAACTATCGATACAATACGTCACTTCCTAGGGGGAGGGTCCGAACCTTTGTTCGAGGGCTGGGATTCCNCGAATGGGGGTCGATCCGAATCGGAAGGGTCGAGCAGAACGATTAAAGGATAAACAAAAGCCATTGGTCACTTTCTCATAACTATCGATACAAAACGTCACTTCCTAGGGGGAGGGTCCGAACCTTTGTTCGAGGGCTGGGATTCCCCTCACCGCTCTCTTCGGGGGTTGCGAACTTAGGATTTTGTTTTACTATCGGACGGTGGTATAAAATAGATTCCGGGGAATAGTGACGTCACCGTCCGCGTTCGAAGGTTGCGAGGTTTGGGGTCCTGGGGATGATCCATAGACAAGACGTAGCAATTTCCATTCTCTTCAGAGGGGATTGCTTCCCAGCTTTGGTAGCCCGACGATCTGAGTATGAAGTCGAGCATTTTAGGATAGAACAGTTTAACGAGGATTGATACCGTACACCCTTTGTCCCAAAGCAGGATCATCAAAGTGGTCACCTACCCGCTTACTGACCGCAGCCAATGATGTTTGACTTCCGTGTTCTACTGGGAACCCAGTTTTTACCATCAGTCCACTGCGGGACATAAATTACAATGAAAAATAGATGGTTGTTTGACCGTGTAAAGCTAATCACAAATGACGCTAGAGGTTAACATTTATCATAAGACTTCCGGGTTACTAGTTTCAATTGATTTCTACTCCTTGGTCTATAAAAGTGGGCAATCCTTTAAATTACACTTGCAGTGTTTGCAATGAAGAGAGAGTTCCTTTAATTAAATTTTAACGAAACAAGCAACAAATAAATTAAAAAGAATCCGAAAGCTTGTGTAGCTTTCGAAGTCTTCTTTTGACCAGCTT